TCGTCGTCAAGACAGGCGAGGTAGTTGAGCTCCTCCAGCGCACGCATCATGGTCTCAGGGGCAGGGGGGTCCATAAGATCGAAGTGAACGAGATCCTCAACACCGAGCTTCTTCAGTTCCAGGACGGTGTTGGCGAGATTGGAACGGAGAATCTCGGGGTAAGTCTGCTCAATGAGCTCCTTCTTGAAAGCCTTCTCAGTGTACAGGCGGAAACACTTTCCAGGCTTGGTACGACCAGCACGACCAGCTCGCTGCTGGGCAGAAGCCTTGGAGATGGGCGAGACGAGGAGGGACTCGACACGGATACGCGGGTTGTAGATCTTTTGCTTGCTGAAGCCAGGGTCCACGACGTACACGATACCGTCAATGGTCAAACTGGTTTCGGCGATGTTGGTGGAAACAATCACCTTGCGACCAGGACGACCGCCCTTGCGCAGAGGCGGGGGGGCCTTGTCGAAGATGCGCTGCTGCTGGTGAGGAGGCAGCGTACCGTAGAGGGGATACACAGCGAGCGGACCGGCGTCGACTTCGCGCATCAGCTCGTCCGCCTCGAGGCTAATCTTGCGACAGGCGTCCTCAATTTCATCTTCACCAGTCAGGAACAGCAGGACATCGCCCTCGGGTTCGGAAGCGTGGATCTGAAGAACGGTGCGGATGGCGGCCTCGACGTAGTCGCGCTCGGGCTCGGGCGTATAGAAGATTTCGACGGGGTGGGTTCGACCGGGGACGGCGAGCAGGGGCGCGTCGTTGAAGTACTTCTGGAACTTTTGCGCATCGAGAGTAGCAGACATGATGATGATCTTGAGATCGGGGCGGCGCATGGAAATCTGCTTGAGCAGAGCCATGAGGATATCGGTGGCCAGTGTACGCTCGTGGGCCTCGTCGAGAATGATGCAGCTGTACCGGGACATCTCGTGGTCGTGCATGGCCTCGCGCAGAAGCATACCGTCGGTCATGTACTTGAGCATGGTCTTGGGGCCCGTCATGTCCTCGAAACGAATGCTGTAACCGACCTCCTCTCCCAGGGTGACGTCCATCTCATCGGCGACACGCTGCGCGACCGACATGGCGGCGACTCGACGCGGCTGGGTACAGGCAATGAGCTTGCCAGTGAGGTGAGGGAGCTCATCATAGACGACATACTGCGGGATCTGAGTAGTCTTTCCGGAACCAGTCTCACCGACAAAGACGAGAATCTGTGTAGAGTGGTACTTGTCAAGAAACTCCTGTCGCTGCTTGTGCACAGGGAGATCGCGACGGCCCTGGAGGATCTGAAAGTACTTTTGCGAGTGAGGTCGGCCAGTGAAAGGGTTAGAATCCGAGTCCTCAGCCTTTGAAGCCTGCTTTGCCGTTGTATGTTGTCTCTTCATGCCGGCGAGAGGGGAGTCTGGCGAAGGCTCCTCGCCGCGGCCGTTGCTCGCGCCGTTCTCGTACATGTGCGCAAGGTAGGGATTGCTCCGGTCGGGATCGGCGGCGTCCTTCTTTGCCTTTTTCCTAGTAGACTCGTCTGCGTCGGCGCTTTGACGCTTTCCTCCCTTGACGTCGGACATTGTTGTCTTGGTGGTGACGGAGAGAGAAACAGATGGCGAGGCTGAAGGAGAGGCCGGTGATGTTTTGGAGGTTGATCTCCAGCTGCCAGAAAATTTTGGCGGGACTTGGAGGCGGTTGCCTTATCGATAAGGATGCCTACAGCACAGTGTGAGTATTGACTCAGGTGTATACTTGGAGTAACGTTGAACAGGTTGTGTGTGTATTGTTATAGATAGATAGATTGGGTCTAATTTGAACAAGCTTGAAATTTCCTTGTAGTAGTTTGATACTTAATACAATGTTGATTGTCCAATTACTTCTATCTTCTATGTACCTGCTGTTGAGCCAAGCTTGCTACAGTCCTGGCGCACACTGTGCCCACTTTCAGGGTCCTTCTCTTGTTCCATCTCTCACCGCGAAAAGAAACTCTTCTATGAGCTATTCCGAATGTCGGCTTGGAGGGCTTCACTTGGATAAAGAGATATCATCTTTCAATGGATATTCACCTGATAAAATACCTATCTATCTCTATTTTTTCAAGATCCAGTCCTTCTCTTCACATCAGCGCGAAAACGAGGCGCATCCCACTTCCCACAACCAACGATTAATTGATTTGGCGGGGTGATTTACTCCACCATTGGAAATCTCAGCTTGAATCTTTCTCTTCAACCACAAACCACCAAAAGACGCAAAAGCTCGCTTCTGCAATCATGACCTCGGACGCCTCTGGCTTCGACATGTCCGACAGCTTCGGCCCTCAGCGACCCAACTTCAACATCGGATATCACGACTCGAACCGCGATGAGCCCCTCACCGACTTACAGTACGGCCATCTGCTCAACCATGGTGTAAGTCGCAAGTCGCCTGCGTCAAACGAACGCCTTAGTCGCCGGTGGAAGGCCTTTGATGTCTAGTGTGCGTTGTGTCGGGGCACTCCGGTTGACTCTGTGAACAGCTGGCCTTTGCCACGACTCCCATCACCAACACTCACTTTCGCGAGCGAGTCTTTGCCCTCGTGAGTGAGCATCTCGCCGCTCTCTCGGACAATGGCGAGAAGGCGACCACTACGGCGACAGGCTCACGGGCTGAGCCTATCCTGCCGCCTCTAACGCCCAAGGATACCAGCATGTTTCCTTGCGCTGCTGTCAACACTTACACGGCAGTCATCAGCCCGTGGATTGACCTTGGCTCAGCCAACCCCATTATCTCAAACATCTCCCGCCAGGTTTTGAATGTTGAAGTTAACTACGCCAACTTCTGTGGTGTTCGCAGCATCATCATCCCCGGACCTCGACAGGATGCCTCCATTGATGGTGGAAACCAGAGCCTTGCCCAGTATTCTCGCGCGGTTGAAGAGGCTCTCACCATTGGCAACCGATTGACCTTTTTGGTTCACATGCCCATGTACCGGGAGCCTGAGGTAGAGTCTCAGGGAGTCAGCATCTCTTCTCTTGAGGTCAAGACCCCTACCAAGACCGAGGAAAAGGAGATTGACCTCCTGGCGGCATGGGATTCGTGGCATCATGTTCGCAGTGTCTGCAACTACAACACGCGACTCTTTGTTGGTAAGTCAAGCCATAATCATTCTGGGGCTTTCAGTTAACGCTTTTCGCAGCCCTGCAAATACCCCGTGTCATGCCTGAGAAGGACCTTCAGGACCGCTGGTTCGCTGAGCCTCTTCACTACTTGACCATCAACCCGGGAGTTTTCCAGCCCAACAAGGCTGGCTATCCCTCGCTTTCCAAGCACCACCAGAACCTATTCTTCTCGTACATGCGACTCAAGAATGCGCCCTGGATCCTCCTGTGCGATGCTGGCCCTGATGTGTCTCACATCAAGGGAGAGCCGCACTCTCTGCTGGCCTCCCATGATGACTTCCCAACTCTTGCTGAGGCTGAGTCACAGAACCAGACTGCCAAGACTGCAAATTTCCAAGTAAAGACCAACGACTACATCTCCTATTTGAGGTGGCTTGAGTCTCAGCAGCCTGAATTCACCTACCTTGAGGGTGCCACCTTGACCAGCTTCCAGGACTGGCTCCAGTCCCCTCTTCAGCCCCTGTCGGACAACCTCGAATCGGCCACATACGAAGTCTTTGAGGGAGATCCAGTCAAGTACAGCCAGTATGAGATTGCCGTGTACGAGGCCTTGACAGAATGGAAGGAACTCAACAAGCCAACTTCTAAGGAGGGCAAGGTTGTTGTTGCTGTCGCCGGCTCTGGACGTGGTCCTCTTGTCACCCGTGCCCTCAAGGCTTCCAAGGATGCCGGCGTTCCTATCGACATGTGGGCTGTTGAGAAGAACCCCAACGCATATGTCTATCTGCTCCGTCAGAATGAACTTGTTTGGAATGGCGAGGTTAAGGTTGTCAAGACGGACATGCGCGCCTGGAAGGGTCCTATCGTGTCCGAGACCGAAGATGGACCTGTCTATGGCAAGGTTGATATCCTCATCTCGGAGCTTCTGGGTTCTTTTGGCGACAATGAGCTGTCGCCTGAGTGTCTTGATGGTATTCAGCATGTCATCTCCACACCTCATGGCATCTCCATCCCCAGCTCTTACACAGCACACTTGAGTCCCATTTCAACCCCCAAGATCCACGCCGATATTCTCTCGCGGTCACCTGGAGACCCCAACGCTTTCGAAACCCCCTGGGTTGTCCGGCTTTTCGCCCTTGACTTTGTGGCCGAAAAGGTGCCTAACAAGCCTCGGTTCCAGGAGGCATGGGAGTTTGCACACCCTATTCCAGAGTCTACACTCGCTGCCCTTGAGGCGAAGCGATCTGGTGGTGTTGTAGGTGGTGGAGGCGGTAGCATGGCTGGTGCTGCTGGAGCCAACGATCACAACTCACGATACTGCCACCTCACGTTTGTGTGTCGCACACGGGGTGTCACTCATGGTCTTGCCGGCTACTTTGAGTCTACTCTGTACGAGTCTCAGATCCCTGAGAACAAAGGCGACAAGATTGAGATTAGCACGCACCCCGAGCGTATCGACCGCAAGAGCAAGGACATGATTTCATGGTTTCCCATCTTTTTCCCTCTGAAGGTATGCTGGTCCCTTGCAAACATGAAGTTGTAATACTGACGTATAACAGAACCCCCTTTACTTTCCAGCTGATACTGAGCTCGAGGTCAGCATGTGGCGCCAGACTGACGATACAAGGGTGTGGTACGAGTGGCTCGTCGAGGCCTTCACCTGGGTTGGTCCTTCGACACGCATCAAGGTGGCCTCGTCCGACCTTTGCAGCAGCCGCAAGGTGGCTTGCCTCATGTAGATGTCATTGGATGGCATGATGGCTTTGATATGGATATACGATGCAACGAGAAGAAAAGTTTTGATTTCAGAGGTTCAAGAGAATTAACGGGACAGTCAGGTCAGCCTTGAATTTTCTTGATAAGGATAGCCTTGCTATACGAGCGTTATGTCGATCTTGTCTTGGTCCCGTGCCTTTTCCCATGCCTCCCCCCTCATGATGCCATGGACATAGGCATCGCCAACGAGAATCTTGAACCTTGGTCTAGTCGCCGAAGGATGAAGGGGGCTCGTCCGCCGCGTAATATGCAAACCTCATCATTCACCCGAGAGTTCTTTGGTACTGAGCCGATATATCCTCTCCAAGTCAACCCGATAGGGCGAAGATGTGATGTACGCTTCATAGCGTTGGCGAAACGAATGGCCTTGACGATGACCTCCTCATCCACGCCAGGCACCTTGTGGCCGCACTCTTCCATGAATCTGGCCCCTTGGAGCTCGACCTGAGCGTCATAGTAGCTCTCATATTCGGGTCTTGCTTCCTTATTCCCCAAGTCACTACTGTTTAGAACCAGTGTCCTCCAAAAGGCCTCCTTCATGCCGCCTTTTCCTAGGTAGGCATTCACACCCAGTCTCTCGCACACACTCTCGAGAATGGTTTGGACATTGCCGATCAACGCGTAGAAAGTCTCTTCGGCGGCCGAAGAAGACTCTACCACCTCGGGATAAGTTGGGTTGTGCTGTCCGCAGTTGTCGGCGGGAAGGATCAAGCATAGTTGGTCGAATATAATGCCTTGGGTAGTGAATTCGGTGTCGTCGTTGTTGAATCTGACTTGAGCACATTGATGCCCGTCTGCTTGGTACTGCTCTTCACCATGGGTGATCGAAGCATAGACGACGGTGTTGCCGTCATCAAAGTTACGAGATGACCAGTCAGGAACCCAATTCGGTAGATCGATAGCCTTGCTAGGGAGGACGTCAGACAGCAAGTAGAGACTATGGGCATTTTTAAGTATGCGAGCAGCTGTGTCAATGTAAACCTGTCGGTCCGTTAGGGAATACTGAGGCGTAATGCCAAGCTGTTGTCGGTCTTTGGCCATGCCCAGGAAAGCATAGATCTTGTCCTTTGGGTTGCTACTAACAAGAGAGTGACATCCTCCGAGTAGCTCGTACAGTTCCATGGCAGGTTCGCCTTTGTCGTTGTGCGAAAAGCATCTCATCAGAGCCTGGTTCAGCACATATCCTGAACCTGGTCGGCCTCAGATAAGTTCGGCTTCTCCGCCTTCAGAAGGGTAGAAGCAAGCCGCCGGGAGCATCCCCCATGAGGCATCAACAACGAGTTGTTCAAGAGGTTCCCAGCGAAAGGTGGATTTGCCAACGATTATCACCACCTCGCTGGCCATGGAAACTTCCGGCGCAATCCAAGCTCTCCTAGACCACGGCAGACTAAACATGTGTCTGAGGGCAGCGTATGATTCGTGACCCTCTGGTGGAAAGCCCAGTTCTACCCAGGACTTGGGGTCCGCCAATCTCACCGTCCGTTCTGCAGGATTGCCCTCGATGTGAGAGTCCATCCACTCCCAGCATTTCCTCGCTAGTTGGAGAGCTCCATCAGACACGATGCCCTTCTGCTTGATGTGCGGCTCGATTAAGGACGCACAATCTTGGCAGAAACATGGCGGCGGCATGAATGGATAGTTGCTTTAAATGAGTTATCGTGGATGAGGAACAATAGCCATTAAAAGAAGGAACTGCGTTAATAAAAGAATTGTCGTCTCATTAAGCGCTGCCTGTACAAGGCGTTTCTGTACCATAGCCACCGTGAAAGCCTAGGTTTCAATGCAGCAACCAGGGGACGTTGCAATTGGCGGCATGATGCCAAAGGACTCAACAACAAGGGTTTGGCAGAGTCAAGAACCTCATATTGCAGTTCCCAAGCCCACGAGTAAGTTGTGAAAGTGAAGAAAATCTCGATATATTTGATGAGAGGAGACAAAACGGACACTGATATGTTGCGTCACAGCTGACCAAAGTTACCTACCATGCTTGGGATAATTGCTCCAATTCTATGCTCACTATTACGGAGTTGAAAGGAGATTCAATAATAAAGATATATCAATGGCGGCCTACTCTCGAAGTTCCCTTATTAACGCCGTCTTGCGCCTGTCCAGCGGCGTCATCTTCATCTGTGTCTATCTTCAAGTCTTTACTCTGTCCAATATGTATACACTTTAAGTCTTAATTTCATGTCCATTATTGGCCATTCCTCTACGTAGGATAGTTATGGGTACCCATAGCTCAAGCGGGCAATGCGAAAAAACCCTCGGGTTCCCATGGGTATCATGTACGCCACTGGGTAACCGTGGGTATCTTGGGTAAGCAACCCATGGGTACCCATGGGTACCCATAACTACCCACTAAGATTCGCGATGGTTATGAGTTGTCCTGGATAGATGAGTGTCTTCAATACCCATGGGAGCCCATAGGCACCGACAACTACCCAGGCTACCTGGGCTTCGCAATGCCGGCAGGTCGGTTTCGGCGGGCAAATACTTAGTTATCTCAAGTCAAGGTACGGTCTATGGGCACTCAGGGGCTATTGGAGACTGTTTGGCTACAGCTGCACGCGGTGAGTTTCGTCATGTCAGAGATTGTTCTTGGTAGAATGGGTACGCCACTACCCGTGGGTATTTCATGGGTAGATATTACCCATGGACATAATTTCGTGGGTTAGCAGATATCCATGGGTATGGCTTGGGTAGCCAACTCTCCATGGGTACCCAAAAGACGATATATACCCACGGTTATCCGTGTTAGTCTTCGTGATAGCATGGGTCATCTTGGGTAGAAGAATACCCACGGGTACCCATGGGTTGGTCGAGGTTATGTCCCCCAACCTCAGGGCTCCTACTACACGCTGTAGTCTGTCTTTTTTCACCGCGAATAGAATGATTCTTGGTGTTTTGTGGGCTGAAGCCACGATCCTCGCGTTTCTTGCACTCAGGCTTTAGCCAACGAATTACCTACCACCTTCAGCATAACCCTCCAATTCAACACTAGCCCCCCTAAAGCATTCTTGTTACCATAGTCATAGCATTCACAAATATGTTACTGAGTCGACAGACCTCCATTAATGGACGGTGGTCCCTGACTTCCCCCATTCGGATTTCACGCGCCCGTGCTTGCACTTTGATGCCATACCCAAGATCTGGTCTACCCTGACGCTACCACCATCACAACAGTCGCACGGGTTGGAAGACATGAGCTCAACTGGTAAAAATCAGACAAAGTGAAGCCATTTGCCGTTTCCTTGGTCCACTCAGTGCAACACCTAAAAGTACAATACTCAGATGCTTGGGCACAAGCCTATACCACCCGAGGCCCAGCATTCCACCCAACCCTCATCATGCTCCATGTAAGTGCATGTGCAATCCCAGGCAGACCATCCGAAACACAAACAACGTGTCGCGTTGATTCTCCTCTTGACCGAGAATGCAGCCCTCTTTACCTTGCTGACCCCGAAACCAGGTGTGTCGGTAAAGTTCCGAACAATCGGCACGTCTCCGCGCATCCTTGAATGCCCTCAGAATGGCATGTTTAGACCCTTTAATAAGAAAAGACAATTGCGGCTCGGGGGACGGGAGCCGACAAGTTGCAGATGGCAAAGACAAGGACATGCCTCGGTGTGGTGATGGCTCTTTTAAAGTATCATCCCACGTGTAAGCCCCCTTCATGACACGGGCAGCCATAGAGTCGTCATACTTTTCAGCCTCATCCTCCCTTCTGTCCGGATATTTGTACCATGATGGCACATCCACGAAACGAAGCTGGTCTGTGTAACAACCCTTTCCATTACTCCGACAGCCCAGACCACCACCACCACCAATACTTTGTGTAGTAGCGCATTCACATGAACGTCGGCACTTGCACAAGCCACGGCGGCCAAGCTCCGAAACATCCATCCATTCCATCATACGAGAAAGGCACAGGCAGTGAAACCCTTCCTGCTTGTTTGTTCGAGAAGCATTCTCCCCTTCACCTTGGCATGTAACAGTCGGTCAAGGTGAGGCAAGGCAAGGCGGGAGTTTCCGCTTCGTCGAACCATGGTCTCCCCTGCAGAAAGGCTTTGATCAACGTCAAGGAGAAAAAATCTCCTTGTTGTTTATTAGAGTCATTGCGCACCCCGGGTCTTCCCGGGGTTGTCGATTCTGGCACCATTTCGACGTCGGGTAATATCGGTGCTTGGACCTTGAGGACCATGTTTCAATATGGAGTCTTCCGTGTCATTCAATTGCATCTCTTGAGGAGTCCAAAACGCAATCCCGATCTTTTTGGGGTATGACTCTGTAAGTGGATCTATGACTACCTACCTACCTACTGTTCCTGTCCCGTCCCTCCAAGTCCATCTTGCCGGAACCGGGACCGGCACCGGGATGGACGACTTAACTTAGACATCATCTGGGCTTGAACTTCCCCAGAATGAGGCGCAAAGAGCCTCAAGTGGACGCGGCCCCACGAACACCATCAACCACCGCCCGCCGGCGCCGTGTTCGGGGGGCGTGAAGCGGAATGGGTGTGGCAAAGGTTGGATGTAGCCGGGGCCGGCAAGAAGCCGACTGGCAATATGACACAATGTGCAAAACCCCTGGAAACCCGGCCGAGTGTGTGTGTACGTGCGTGTGTGCAAGGGAGGGCCTGTGCCTGTGCCTGCAACATCCGTTGTCGGCTGCGTAGTCGGCGGTTTGTCATGATATTGCTCCTAATGTGAGGCCATCGCGGGAATATCGATGCGAGAAAAAGGGCGCGCGTAAATCAACCATCAAGGGTCAATTCATTGGCCAACACAGTAAACACGGTAGACAGGGGGAAGCAGTATTGGGTGTATACACTTTTTTTGTGGTATTGATAATGTTTCTACCAAAAAACGACTTTGCTTGGTTTCCAACGCCTTGCTGTTCCTTGCTCGCTGTTAAGAGCTCTGAAGGTTGTGTATCTAGCTATACAGAATAGAAAGAAATGGCGTTGATGCCAGCCAACAAGATACGGAGGTCATAACGTTCTCCATGAGTCGGGTGTAGTTTACAAGTCCCGACTTGTCTTGTTCTCCTCTTTTTCCTCCTCCTCCTGGCGGTGCCTTTTTATAGCCCTCAATATTAACGACCTCTAGCGGCGGTGATGCCGTGCTGCCCTCAGCGGTTTCTCGAAGCGAAAGGGGAGACCCAGCTGTGACTGGGAGCTATGTCCCAAGTCGGCAGTGCCCCTCAATGGAGATGGTCTTTCGTACTCATCCCGATCAAAGCACCGTCAAGGTATGCCATGGTGCGCCTGGTCACTCAGCCTTACTCGCACACCATATATATGTGGTGCGGGAGATGTGCTCCAGGCAGGTTGGCTCCCCTGGCTGTCGTCATATTCTCTGTGTCATCGTAGATAATTCGTTCGTCCGGTCCGTCCTGTTTCCACCTTCCACCCGTGATTCCTCGCTCCTCAGCGCGGGGAAGGCGAGCTTAAGAGAAGAGGGCGGCGCCGCCAGACTCGATGGCCTCGATCTCGGCAGCGTTGAGGGTCTTTCGGTGGAAGCGGGCGGGGAGCTCGGAGACGTCAAAGTAGACGCCGTTGGGGGCGTTGACGCTGCCGAGGGCAGAGCCGGCACGGCCACCAACACCAGAGTTGGCGTGGATGGAGTTTTGGAGGGGACCGTGCTGCTGAGCGGCGTCGCGGTAGGAGCTGAAGCTGGTGTGGCGGGAGGCGGCGTTGCCGTTGCCGTAGCCGGACCAGGACTCGGGGAGCTTGCCAGCGGGAGAAGCAGGGTGAGGCTTGGGAGAGTGGTCGATGTTGGCTGTAAGATGTTAGCCGAGGGGGAACTCGGAGGGGAAATGATGGCGTTGGGAAAGCCAGAGTAAAACTCACCAGGAATGGTTCGGGGACCAAGGAACTTGATGAGAGGAGTACGCTCGGCGTGGACAGCAGCCTGTCGAAGAGCTCGGGTAGCGGAGAACATGGTGATGGTTGTGGTGGATGGTTGGAAGAAGCCGGGTGGTTCGGGAGATGTTGTCGAGATGATGGGAAGCTTCAATCGGCGTGAATTAGAATAGACCTAGGCTGTAGACCAGAGGGTTGCGTGATCAAGAGTCGATGATTTGTTGAGAGTGCAATAGAAGAAGGGGAAGAAAAGTTGTGAACAAAGTCTGAGGGAGAGGGAGAGATTTATTTGTATTGGAACTGAGGAATTTTCTGGCCCAAGGTAACTTAGCAAGCTCGAGTTTGTACCGCGCCGAAGCGCTCCTCGCTCCATCCATCGCTCGCTCGGCGTGGAGAACCGCCTAGCGCTTGCCTCACCACCAAGGATCCATCCCTCCAATGGAGCTGACTGAGAAAAAAAAAAAAAAAAGCCCTCCAACAACCTTTTCCAAAACAGGCCACATTTGGCACACCCGTAGCCCGACCACCACGCTACCCACACACCTTTCAATGGATGGGATGGCTTGGGCTTGGGCTGGATCTGGGCGTCTTCGAACTGCCCGGGACATGCATGGCACCCGGGTCAAGGAAAAAACGAGACATCAATACAACAAACAGATTTATTTACCCTTCTAAATATAATCAATAAAATTAAGAAAAATAGATAAAAAATTTCTCAAGTATTATACTTATTATAAGATATTTCTAAGAATTTTATTATAATTATAGAAAATTATCCATTAAATCTTAGATGAGTTAGTTTATCCTCTCTGCCGTTCTGGTGTCTCGTTTATTTCTTAACCTGCGTGCATGGGTCGACGACGACACCCAAAACCCAAGACTCCGCTCCCTCGCATTTGCCTTCCAGATTTCAACAAGGGACAAAGGTCAAGGACATGGGGGTCCCTCGTTGTCGCCGTTGCTTTTGCACACTCCTCTTTCGACGACATGTTTATTCGGCCTTCGCGCTCCGGGGGAGGAGTCGTCGAGAAAGTCTGTTGCACGACTCGGTGCATCGAGCCCGTCTCGCACTTGGGTTGCAGCCGGAGACGGGCGGGATGGCGTGGTGTCGTCTAGTTTACGGCGTTAGCGAGTGGGCTCTACATTGATTTTTGCATCCATCTGTTTAACTAGGCAGCTACTGCAAGCTCGAGACAAGTTTCGCTTTGACTAGAATTATGTCTTCATCGACATGTGTCAACCATGGATAACTCGTACAGACATACATTGATTCAACACACAGAAACCGTTGACCAAGACAAGATGATCATTCACAGAACCGACCCTGTTTCATCGGTTCAGGTCGGCTTCCTCACCCGAACCGAACATCGGACCAAAAATCCCACCAGACAATGATGCTATTCCCCCCTCATCACAACCCCAACTCCAGGTGTCCCCCCGGTCCCTTACAATAGCAACCTGCATCCGATGCATCCTTCATTGCCACGGAGTTAACGGCACTTGGTTGGAGCAGCTTCACCCACACCCAACCTGCAGCAGCAGCAGCAGCAGCTCCGTCCTCGCCGTTCCTGCGGGACGCGACAAGATCCTCCCTCTCGTTCGCGGGGAGGGGGGACAATTGCCCTTTTCGGCAGTCCGGGGGAGACAGGCAGAAACATGGGGTTTTTTGGTTGGCGGGCGGCCGGGTGGGATGGAGGCGGACAGATGGGCGTCTGTGTGTCTGACGCCAAAGAAAGTGATCGTCCACACCTTTTTCTCTCTCGCCTCGTGCGTGGGATGGACAAGGCGAGGGGCGAGTGGGTGATGGAAGCCCAACGAGGATCTACCATGTTACCGGAATCGTGAAGCTAGAGATGTCCATGTTTGACGACTTATCCTTTGTCCGTGCCACCCGAGAAGAATACGTGTAAGAATGTTGATCAAAAAGGTTCCCCCAGCTGGACCCTACCTACGTAATTGGAGGTGTGTTTAGTTTTGCGAGTTGGACTAGCAGCCGCCCTACGCGGAAACGGCCCCAGCCAAAGCACATGGTTCGAGACAGGCTAATGTTGGTTCCAAGGCGCCGAACATCCAAGCGAGGCCAGACTTGGGGTAGTATGACACAGGTGCGGATAAGAGACACGCACCAACGGGCGCGTGTATGTTGCAGTGCAGCAAGAGGAAATGAGGATTTGGAACTGCCAGCAGCAGAATCTTGGCTGATTGATAATAATTCTGTTTGAGACGTGGAATTCCAGCTGGTGATGCCTACAAAGTCAACGTTGACTTTACGAAGTAGAGTCATGATCGGCCAGGCCCGCCCGAAGAAGCACCTTGTGTCGACAGTTTTGTCGTCTCCAGAAAAAAGACCTAAACGATTTTGAGTAACAGGAAATGAAAGACGTGGCACGGCATGAAAAGTCAACATCCCATCAAAACAAATCATTGACATGTGGTTTGAAGCAAGAGAAAAAAAAAGTTGATATCTCTGAATCAAAGATGGCTTTTCGACCAATCCCAGGTCTCGTCTTGGTTATGACAGATGGAGATTACATCTGGATAAGAGATGGGGTGGTACGTACCTGTCCCCTCCTCCCATCTCCAGCCTGCAGGCAGACACACTCACATCTCAGCTACTCCTGCAGGACATTGGAAAGAGAACCCGAGGCATCTCCTGGAGGAAAGCAGGGCGAGTCTCCCGAATTTCCGTCTACTTGTAAAAGGTGTCAATAACATCGGGGTGACAATCCCGATGCACGCCGTGTCTTCCCCCTTCCTGTCTAAATCTGGGGTAAAAGGGTCACCTGGCTAGAGTCCCCTCTGCACATCCCCCAAACCAACAACCCCTCGCGTATTCTTTCTAAAATGACCGAGTCATCAACATCTGTCTCTCCCTCCATGCTGTTCATGAAAAGGCTGGCACCGGGACCGGCATCCTGGACCTGAACCTGGGGGGAGGTTGGCCCTGGGTCTGTGCGCGATGCCATGGATGGATGCCGTGTTACTTCAACGGAATTGGCTCGTGGGTTTTTAGCTTATTTTTCCTTGCCATGAGATCCCGCCGGCCTTTTTAGTTTAGGCGACGGCAAGATCTGTTGCACGTGAAAGGAGCAAGAGGAGCTCCTCCGTGAATTTGTTTGAGATGGGGTTGATTCTCTCTCTTTCATCTTCCCTCATGGGTGCAGATTTGTACTTGCACATGCTTTTGAGGTAGGAAGGGAACTTGTGCATCTTCTCCTTCAAGAGTACATACCGATGTCCTTAATTTCGAATATTATTTATAACCTCAGTCACTGTCTGTTCAGCCACTTTGTCTCGTTCTCTACCTGTGCCGCTTTCTGTGTCACCTCCCACTCTAGGGCAATATTCGCACAATTGCTCTGTGCGTTTCCCCTCCCCCTCCCCCAACCTCCGATAAGATAAAAGCCTTGAATCAAACAACCAATCACAATCCCCCAATCAAGACAGACAACTTGAATTCCCAGCTTGCTGCACAGCGCTGCAATGTGATAGGATCAATCCAACGCTGGGCTCAAAACTTTTGCTCAACCTTTCAAATACAAAAAACCAACGCATTCCTTGACAATTTGGTCTCTTTGTGACACTTGATCGTCAATTGACTCCCAGTAGCACTCGTACTCACCTTCACAATCTGCAGTATGGCGTCCGACTCCAAGCCTGAGGGCAGTTTGGCTTTGTTCGTCTCTCGGATGTCTACTCTACTGGCAGCTCTCTGATGCCCCAGAACAAGAACGCCGACAGCCTGGAGCTCCTCTGAGGAAAGGCTGGTCGTGCCTTTGGCCACATGGCTGGTTTCATGATGACCCAGAAGGGTCTTCCTAGCACCTACAACAAGGATCTCTAGGAGAGTCTCGAGCCCATGATGGACCACGTCAAGACTGTTTCGAACAGCATTCAGATCGCCAACGGTGTCCTCGCCACCCTTACCGTCAACGCCGAGAAGATGAAGACAGCCCTCGACCCCTTCATGCTAGCTACTAATGTGACTGACTACCTTGTCCGCAAGGGCGTGCCGTTCCGTGAGACTCACCACATCGGGCCGATGTGTGGCCAAGTCTGGGGAGACGGGCATCCCCATGAACGAGTTCTCGTACGAGCAGATCAAGGCTATTGATGAGCGATTCGAGGAGGATATTGCTGACGTCTTCAACTACGAGACGAGCGTCGAGAGTCGATCGGCCAAGGGCGGCACCAGCAAGGCCACGGTTCTGGAGCAAATTGAGGTTCTCAGGAAGATGCTTGCCGGAACCTTGTGATCGTAAGCGAGTTTGAAGGGCTCGGGCGTTAAACAGTTTTGTCGGATCTGGTCTCTCTCCACGGGAGAAGTTTAAAGGATGAAAAAGTCTACTGTGAAGGTTGTCTAGAAGTATAGAAAGGCGCGAGCGCCCGGAACCACATGGAGTCGAACATGATATTTTGTCCACCAGAAACTCATCGTCATCATTGTGTATCTATTGTTCATCCTTGGTTTGCAGTCACAGCAACTCACCCACTTCACTATGACTCGACGTCGACACCCCGCTGCCAGGATGGCTATGTTTCAGACAATCAGACAACCAAGGCGGCTTCAGATAAACCCCCAAATCCAGTCGGCATTCTTCACCATCCTCAACGAGGACATCCGCAACCTGATCTACGAGTATCTGTTTGGTTGTGCAACTCTTAATGTTGACTCTGGGTGGCAAGAGCGCTACTGCCACGCATCATTACTCGGCATCTGCCAAAGGGCATACATCGAGGGCATTCGCGTGTTCTACTCAACCAACGTCTTCAAGCTAAGCCAAGACGACGGCCTGGACATTTGGATGGATTATACCAGGGTCCAGCGGTGGGATCTCATCCGCAATGTCGACCTGCGCATCACCCTCGCAGCGGACATGTGGCAGTGGGGAAAAACCTGGGAGATACTTTATTCTATGCCGAATCTACGGATCGCGAAGCTGCGTTGCGAGACCAAAATGCAATTTACTAAGCATCCGCGCAGAACTTGCAAGGTAGAGGACCCATTTGAGGGAGAGGGGTTCTTCCTCCCCTGGGCTCTTAATCCGATGCTGTGGCCGAGGAGGAGCAATGAAGTCACCTTTGAGATCCTTTTCAACATCGAGAGGAAGAAGACTTTGGAGATTCTACTTGAGGAGCTGAGGGCTTGTGAGATGCGGGGGATACGGATCGGATGGGTTAGCTGGACTGGATCAGAGGAAATCAGACGGACTGTCGAGGCTAACGGCCCGCTTAACTTGAATGTACCGGAGGAATTCAAACTGTTTAAATGGATAACGAACGCAAGAGAAACAGCAGAGCCGGTTATAGAGTGGGAAGAGGTATAGAACCTACTTAGGACGTGTCGGATTTGGTGCTTTGTACTGGATCTCATACATTCACAGGGGATGATGCCTCTTTGTGTGGAAAGGAGACGAAAGGGGCATTTGGTGAATAAAGGTCGTTTGAGTAACCCTTGGAGAGTGGGTGATGGTTAAAGACTGTTAATTGCGTCGTTGTTTCACTCATCATCGTGTCTTTCTTCTTTTCACCTCCCATTGCTTTGTGCGCTTTTTCACTCTACAACTGGAGCCCCAGGAGACTATTAAATACGGCAACCCTACGACTGAGAACAGTCCCTCAACCAACAAGAAAGCCGGGACATCATCCATCACAGCTACGATGGTCCGGTTCGAGACAGGCGATGAGCAAAGCCACTCAAAGTTCTTCACCAAGCTTTACCCCGAGATCAAGCGTGAGATATTTCTCCATCTCTTTGGCTCTCGCCATGTGCATTTAATGTTCGTCAAAGGCCGCGCCTTGGACGACGGCAAGAAGTTTTGGAGACACGGCCATCCGCCTCTCACACATTTGGGCTGGCTGCACTGCGTGTGTAGGTCTGGGGCGAAACTTCTTCCCCATAAGCACCACGAGGAATGTCACAAGTGGAGATTTTTGTCGACTAACATCCTGTGGACTTGCAAGAGGGCGTGAGTGCCTATTCAAGGCGTTGGTATGAGGAAAGACTGACCTGGCTGCAGCTACGAAGAGGGCATCGACCTTCTCTACAGCACAAACACCTTTCTTTTCCAGGATCCGATCGACCTTGTCAACTTCAACACCATAGCTACCGATCATGTGCGCTATCTTCGCTTCCTGGAACTTCAAATGTCCCTCTATGAACCAGAGACATGGCGAAAGGAGACTGATGCTTTCAGGCTCGTGACTTCGACGCTACTTGAGTGGGACAGCTGGTACTCCCTCAGGCGGGTAAAGATCCGTGTGGTCGATGAGATGGAAGACCCTGTTCCCAAGAAGCAGAAGCAAAAGGCGCGAAAGGAATCCCAGAGGGAGTTTGGCCGTGCTGTAAGGGCGCTCGCGGAGAAATTCAGCGTCGAGGTGATCTTGGGTGACAAGGGCGACAAGGAGATTATCCAGCCGCGTTTGCTGGATAAGCCCGGGCTCACATTTGTCAATGCTAGTGAGCATTTTACGGGTCGGCGGGGAAACGAGGACCAAGAGATTGACTCGGATGATGGTGACGCTTTTCACCACGTCATTAGTCGCGTCTTCTGGGCCGGAAGATGACTTGACGGTTGTTTCCATGCAAGGTTGAGGGTCGTGTCCATAGGTATCAGCCGGGGACTCAGGGGATTGGATATAAGGATGAAAGCAATACCTAAGTAGGTAATCGCCCCTAAGGAGAATGATGATAAAAAAATAGTAATGGCAATAAAATACCAATAAAAGAGGTCTACATATGAACTTCTATTAGACCATCTTTGAACTGATTATCCAGTACCTAACGTAAATGTCCCGAGAAGAGATATCACTAAAAGAGTCCATCGCTTGTTTCGGATGCAGGATCGAGGTCTCTCAGCCCATCTGGTCCTTCTGTGAGATACTCCTTACCACCCTTGAGTTTGTCGGTGACTCCCTCGATAGCATTCTGGAGCCAGTACTGAGTTCCATTCGGAACTGCCAGCGTCTTTCCCGTCTCTCCGTCAACCAGCCATTCTTCATCTAACGTGCCCAGGTAGAGATCAAAGATAGGGGCATAGTCGGCAGAACGCCAGGCTATGGATGTCCCGCACTCGCTGCAGAAGCCACGGAACCGTCCGGGCGATGAGGTGTATTCCTTGAAGGAAGGGAATGTGTTGAGGGCTGGTGTAAGCTGTTCAGGAGAGAGAACGAGGAATTGCGCGACGAGGGACGATGTCCACTTGCGACACATGGTGCCTTTAGATGTCAGCAATTGCCTGGCACTCGAATATGGATTTACGCACACTGGCATGACGAAGACTGATTAGTTAGCGGGTGATTCAAGTGTCTTCAGGAGAGACTTACTACTGGTGGCCATGGGAACTCTGGCGTGAAATTGACGGTGTACCTAATAGCACTGCACAGGCATCCGCCCGTGATAGAAGACGGTGTCGGGGAGATTTCTTCAGGCATTGAAATAGGAGATTTTGAGTATTGATGAGATTATCAGCAGAAACAGGAAGCAAGCGAGTAGACGGAGTGTAAGTGACCGTCGGTTTAGGCTTTACCATGTCTCGGCTTACATGTACAAAAGATGTAAACCGATTGGATGACATTCCCGAGCTTAGATATCCCGTGTAAGAGACGCTGTGGTGCAATACTGATACAACCTCGTGGACCAGTCAGCGTCAAGAAAATGCGAGGCAATTCTCCGGAGATAGGCTATTGCCGTTGGCGTATAAGCTTAAATGCGTTGGTTTGCCACAAGCTAACAAGCCACCGGTCTTAGCAGTAAGTTTCCGTCAGAGATGGATGTTGATGCACTATCCCCGAGAAGGCGGCAAAAGGTCAAGACTGGGTGCAAGACGTGCAAGTGAGTTATACCGAGGAAATGTACCTGCATGAGCTGACCATCTGAGACTTCGTCGTATCAAGTGCGATGAAGGGAAGCCGTCGTGTAACAAGTGTCTATCATCCGGTCGCCACTGTGCTGGCTACGGGATATGGGATGAAGGAAGAGCATCTCCTATCCAATGCACCTCACTATCGAGACTAAACACCCCTATCCCATCGATGGCATCTCAAGAGGAAAAGGGGCACTTTGACTTCTTTCGTGTCATCGCCGCCTCTAAGCTTGCTGGCGCCTTTCCCTCTTCCTTTTGGGAATCTCTTGTCTTTCAGGCAAGCTCCTCGGAGCTCGTTGTCCTTCACGGAGCATCCGCTTTAGGAGCTGCATACAAGAGCAGGGCTCAGACTATCTGCGACGGGATGCTGCAGAACCACATCAGCGCCGATGCGGCAAACAGACAAGATCAAAGCTTTGCCGTCAAGCAGTACGCCAAGGTGTTGGACATGCTACAGATGCAGCTACCCCGGACCGAGAAGCGTCTGCTTCGAAATGGGCTTATTGTTTGTGTGCTTGCAACAGCGTTTGAACTTGTTCAGGGGAATCACAAAGCTGCGGCGACCCATCTCAGGAATGGGTTTATTCTCGTCCGGCGCGCCCAGAACTGCGGGTACGAAGTCGAACCTGACCTGGCTGAGCCGTTTACTCGGGCTTACATGCAGTCGATGCTCCTAGGGGGCTCAGGCAGCTTGCCAGACCTGACAAAGGAAGCTTGGACACCGACTGAGGTGCCAAAGGCATTTGGATCCTTTCACGAAGCTAGGCATCACGTCGACATGTTACTCATTGGCGTTGCACGACTCTCGGAGGACTTTGAATCGGACAATTACAGATGCCCAGGGGGTATCCATCAGCTTGCTACTCTAGAAAGAGCTTCATCGGCTTGGATACAAGCATACGAAGCAAGTCTCCAAGATCTGCTCTCCCAGTCAAACCATCGCACCATCTACGGGGTTTTTATGCTCCGCATGTTTCACACTATGGCGTCCATCATGATTTCTACAACACTGACCCCTCATGAAAACGTCTTTGACAAACATACCGACCAATTTGCATCCATCATCGACCAGACGCTGAAAATGTGGAACATGAACGGATTCGCCGTGGGCGGCCCTTTTGAGGGTCACCGCAGCGTCACTGGACCTAGGGTGACATTCGACCTCGGCATCATATCTCCCTTGTATTACACGGCTGTAAAGTGCCGTGACCCGAGACTCAGACGACAAGCTATTGGCTTACTCACAGTGGCCCCTTACAGAGAAGGCATATGGAGTAGTGTTGTGGTCGCCAAGATTGCGCGTGTGGTGGTCGACATGGAAGAAAACGGCTTCTATGCAGGGGTCCAGTTTGAAGAGGATTCACTAGCTCCTACTGATACAGAGAAATACGGAAGCTTGCCTATACTTCCGGAAGAAAATAGATTCCGTGCGGTACGGGTGTCCCTCGGGGATGAAGCGGGAGGACGGGGGACGATCAGCTGCAGGAAAGCATCTAGAGCTGGGCTTTGGGTTGAAGGAAGAGTGGAATTTGACTTTTCAGATGAAGTTTGAGATATATAATACAGAATTCTTATTTTAAGCGAGGCGAATGTTTTGTTTGTTAATAGGCACTGGTGCAAATTGATGGTGCTCATTATACCCGGGACGCTCCCTGAGGCTATCCCGCTTAGGACTCCCAATCGATACGGACCTATGAAATTGAGCTACAAATCGACTTTAGAACATGCACCTTTCAAGGCCGGGTTAGAAAAGACTTGTTAGATCAGGAGGGGAACTGTATTGCTGGAGGACGGTTGGTCTCAGCTCAGAAGCCAAGCTTCGTTTGTTTGTTTGTAGATGGGCATCAAGCTAGGGTGGATATATGCTTTTTTGTTTGCTCAGTGTATTGACAGTGAATCATTGTGATCCACTGGCTGCCTGATTTCTACCAATATTTAATGCAGCAAATTTAATCTCCCTCCTCTTCACTTCTTCATCCTCGCCACCTCCTCGTCCCTCTACACCCCTACCCTCGATGCGCATGCAGCCAGCGTCGAGCGCTCCCTTTTAGCATCATGCTTATGAACTTTGAAACCCGGGATCAGATCGACAAGCCTGGTCCCGTAAACGGGCAAGAGCAGTCACCATTCTTCCAGAAACTCATCCCCGATGTCCGGCGTCTGATCTACTTGGAGGTCTTTGGATCTCGTTCAGTCCATGTTGTTCCTGGACCAGGAATCGGCAGCCCGAAGTACGTCTTGTACACTTGTCGACAGCCAGACGATGCGCCGCCTCATTCCGAATGCCCAGACGTGGGTGAAGAAAAGTGTAGACTGTCCACCAACCTACTCTATACCTGCCAGATGGCGTGAGTCTCGCAACACACAAGAGTCGATGAAGATACTGACGAACCGTGGTACTCCAGGTACAATGAAGGCGCCACACTGCTGTTCAAATCCAACAAGTTCCTGTTTTCCGACCAGACCGACTGCACTTTCTTTTTCCACCTGGTCCCCGACAGCTTCCAAAACTCTGTCCGGAGTCTCAATGTCTGCGTCAAGTTCCACATCTACGACACTCACCTCATTCATACAATGTGTGAGGAGCTCTCCAACTGGACGGGTGACTTTAAGCTGCGCATGAGATGGGACATGGATCACCCGCGCCGAAAGAAGAGATATGCCAACTTCAACACGGCGCTGGATGCCATTCAGCAGTTGATGAAGAACCCGAGAGTCCGTCCCAAGTTCTGGGCGCCCAAGATGCTGGAAGACGGGATGGGGTTGATATTGAAAAAGGAGGATCGTCTCAGGCTGGAGTTTGTCAAGGATGAGAGCGAGCCTGACCCGAACGACGATGACGATGGAGAGGAAGATGATGATGAGGATGAGGACGAGTATGACTGGGACGATGACAGTGAAGACTACGATGAGTATGACAGTGAGGGTTGCATGACTGATGTGGATCATGATGATGAGGAGACACTCAGATATTGGGAGGCACTTGCTGGTCAGGCGTAGGTAGATTGAGGATAGCCTCATGCAAACACCTCAAGGCTAAAACTGGTGGCCAGCTGCCTGCCAGTCCAAACAAAAAAAACTTCCATTTTCGTGCTCCCCAAGGCCTCATGCTATTCCTCCCAAAAGGGATATTTGAAGCTTCTCAAAAGAGACCTCTTATTGCATTTTTGCTCCCTTTCTCCTTTCCACATCTTCGACTCAACATTCTTCTTCACAGCAAACCTCAACATCAGACATTCCAACATCCATTTCTCCATACCCAAAATGTCCGACGTTTCGAGATTCAGCGAGTGTCGCGTTCAGGATGGATCGCCCTTTTTTACCAAATTTCCCCCCGAGATCCGCCGCTTCATCTACCGTGAGGCCTTTGGGGATCGTCGAGTTCACATTGTTTCGAAAGAGACACACTACATCAATCCTCAGAAGAATATGTCGACGACTGTTTCGCGCCGATGGATGCACCATGTCTGTATCCGAGAGATTCCCGACAATGATGATGCTGCCCATCCTCTCCATGAGGACAACAACAAGTCGTGCCGCCTGGCGACACAAATTCTTCGAACCTGCAAGCAAGCGTAAGTTTTTTTCGTGTTTCTCGGATCCAGATCCAAGTAGTGACTTGGCTTGCCTCTCCTGGCGTGGTCGCCTTGATTGATTCTTTCATCAGACTAACTCCAACCCAGGTTCGAAGAAGGCATCCAGCTGTTGTACACGTCAAACGTCTTTGCCTTTGATGGGGGTCACAGCATGAGCCACTTCCAAGACACCTTCCACCTCGCCAGCCTCATCAGATCCATCGAGGTGTACTCTAACACCATGGTGTTCGGGGATAACGATGTGAGACCAATAGCAGGCGAGCTCGATACCATCACCCAAGCCCTGGAAAAGCGGCAGACACCTATCGAGCTGCGAATCAATTTTTCAGTCAAGAGCTCGCAGAACTACGATCCTCTGAAAGCCGGGGAGATGGCCCACGAGCGAGCGATGGGTAGCCTGGTGGCGTGCTTTGCAGGAGAGTTCCTTGACGTCTTCTTCGGCGTGGATCGTTGTCGCCTTGACATTGACTTGCACTACAAGCTGAAGGACGGGTTTGAATACTCGCTGGAGAGGGTAGCCCCTGTTGGCTTGGGGACCCCGCCTATCGAGATCACGTGCTTTCATTATGCTGATGAAGTGGATGAGGAGTCGGACGAAGAAACAGAGGATGGTGGGGAGGACGGGGAGCTTTGAGATAAAGACTAAATCGAGAGGACATGAGACATAGACATGGAACCAAGAGTGAAAGGAACTTTAGGGGATAATTACTATAAATCTGCACATTGCCTTTATAACTTAGTTCAAGTAAGGAGTAAGACGCCAGTGCCAAGGAATCAACTTATCCTCCTCTGATACCAAGACGGTAAATTTATAAAATAATATTAATCTTTATCTAGTTATTTCTATATCCTGGATCAATTCCATTCTCATCATAGTTGTGATATCCATGGAGAGCTAGGTGACCTCAGCCCCGTTTATCACACGGGAAGCCGTATTTGATCCAACGTTTGGCTGCATACGGACGGCTGCTCCGTCCCGTACACAACCATTGGAGCCGGGCAGGGTCCGAATTGATGAAATGGTCTGGTGAGTGGTCATATCGGCAAGTACCCGAGGAATTACAGGGCGCAGACCTGTGAGCAGTCATGAACCCAACTGAGACTGCATCTCGCCTACAAACGGGCTATCCAGGACTGTATCACAAACAAAAAGGCCCAGAACGCCATGCGCAGGGTATTTCAGGGCAACTACTCTTTAGAATACTCACCATTTCTGGAGATTCTCCTGCGCGTTTCCACGTCTTGGCATCGCAATGCTGAGCCATGTTTGCTGAGGCTGGACATGGATAGTTTGATTCTGCCACTCCTGACTTCTATATAATCCCAAGACCTCCCACACATTGTTCTTTTTTCTTTGTCTTCCCATATACACTTGAATATCCTGGATTGTCTCCCTTTCGACCTATCCCCCATGCCGCCAGTGGTTTTCCGCAAGGTCGGCGACCAACACAAGTCCCCCTTCTTTAAAAAGCTTCCCCCGGAAATCCGAAAGATGATCTACACGGAACTCTTCGGATCTCGTCTCGTCCATGTCCTGTTCCACTCGTCCGTGCATCGGAAACCCAAGACTTTGTACAAAAGACAAGGCGCACCCCCTCGAAGCAAGATGCCTGGCTGGGCGCATTGCGTCTGCCGACAGGGTGTCGACTCTCCGCCTCACCTGCATAGCGAGAGATTTCACAAGTGGTGCTACATGAATACCAACATTATCTTTTCCTGCAAGTATGCGTGAGTAATTTTCCAAACTACCTTGTTGTCAGGGAAGAGCCGACACTCTAACTCGACTCCAGCTTCGAAGAAGGCATGCCTATTCTCTACGGCTCCAATGTTCTGTCTTTCACTCAGCTCACAGACTTTCTGGTATTTATGCAGTTCTCCTGCATCTATAAAGCTCTAATTACGAGAGTAAACGTCTCTGTCAACCTGGAAGGCCTCGACGGTCGCACATACGACTTTTATACCGAGTTCAAGACACTGCTCCGGTGGAAAAGGAGGGCCGGCGCAAGGCGTCTTGAATGTCAGATGCTGTTCTACGGATTGGACGACTTCCCATTCGTAGAGAGAGCTCTTCACCAATCCATTAAAACGATAGAGCGGGAGGCGCTGCAAGACGGGCCTCGGTTTCGCCTTTTCGTGCCACTTCACATGCGGGAATCGAAGGGGCGATATTGTTGGTCTGGTTCTACCAACTACAATGTTGAGATTCATTGGCGAAGTGACAACTCGCCTACGGCTGTTGGCTTCGGCGAGGCTTCAGACGATGAGAACTACGGGATGGTTGTGATTGACTAGAGGCATGACAGCTGCTTAGGTACTGAAAGATAAGGGAATCCCGGATGGACTAGCGAAGACTACACGGCGGATCCGGGGAGGAAGACATTGAGAAATGAGATCTAGACAGAATGACACTGATGGCCCTTGTGGAAATGATGTATGCGTGGGTAAAGGGATTCAGCTCCAAAAAAGAGTATGCCAATACTTGACATAATTTACACCTTATTTATTGTTACCTAGGTGGGAATAACTGCTCAAAGGCCAAGACACTATCCAACCGGAGTATCAAAGTGGAATCGAATAACTGCTCGAAACAAGCACCCTTCAAACCAAAACACGCCTGCTAGAGCAAAACCACAAAAAGCTAATACTTGTACAACCTAACCTTGAGCCAGAACTCAGGTCGGGACCAGTGAATCAGAGCACCGTCTATGATATACCAAGCCTACCACGACCTCTTGCGAACGACATCACGCACAATCCGCCGGCACTCGCTCGGGTCCTCAAAGACATGCCAAGCCTCGCGCGGCACACCCTTAAACGCCTTCTCAAAGCGCTCAGTTTGGTTCTTCTCTTCGATGCCAAATGAGGCAACATCGGTGGCCTTGCGGATGAGGATCATCTTGATCCAGTGGGGGAAGGCTCGGTACCTACAGCATCCTGTTAGTAAGAGACAACAACTCAAAATCAGGGCAACTCACACTTCGCCGTACGCCTCGGGGTCAGATTGTGTAGAGTCTCCAATCACAATCATCTTCTTCTTTGGTAGCCACGAGTGAACCTTCTTCATGCGATCGGCCTTGTACTCCTCCGTCCCCATCGTCAACGCCGACAACAATCCCGCGACAGTCCGCCAACTCGAGTCTCTCAGTACGAGTGTGCCTTGCGGAAAGTAACGATCGCGGAAGTCGCGTAGCAGTGGATACAGGTTGTAGGGCGAAGCGGAAAGATAAAACCAAGGAGTGTCGCGGGGTAGAAGGGACTGCAGATCTGAGTAAAGCTCAGGCATTCCGGGGACTGGAGTGGGTTCGTCGACAAAGGTGGACTTGAGAATTCCCAGAGGATCGCTTGTCATGGTGACTTTGATGGTGTCGTCAATATCTACAGAATGTTAGTGGTCACTCATACTTACACGCACGAGTCGAGGACAAACCTGAAATGACGCCCCATCCTTCAGGCCCAGCATAATAAGTCTGCATATCGAGTATGCCCCTGACCTCCCTAGGCACCAGAGCCGTCGCATCGACCACAGATCCCTTATGATAGCGCTCGAGGGGCATGACACTCGTCGTGATGCCGTTGACGCTCGTCGGCCCCAACCTCAACTCCTTCTTACGGTGTTCGAGCCAAAACACTCTCGCAGCTTGAATGTCCCAGAGGAAGGGAATTATCCTCTCCTCGATGACATCACGCTCTGCTGCATCTTCTGCAAGACCCAACGTCTTGGCGATGCTCGATACAATGTCTGCGACACGACACTTGGGCTCGTTCTCAAACACCGCGGCAACAAACTCGGCCTCCCATACATTCGTGTCTGGATTTCGGTACGCCGTATTATCAAAGAGCCAGACAATATCGCCGCTATCGACAGCCTTGCCAAAAGGGTTCAGGTTTGCGAGACGGGAGAGCCATGCCGAGATGTTAATAGGAGCAGCGAGCGCCGCGGTCTGGACTCGCTGCAAAGCTGGATTTCTAGGGTCGGGCAGGTCGTGCTCGACCTTGTCAAAGTTGCGCGCCTTTCTTGTTCGTAACTGCATGTCGCCTGCAAACGAGGACGGGCTGAATTCTGTTTCTGGCATTGTGAAGGAGGAAGAAACGGCCCGGGTGGCCGCTACAGGTATATGCGATGTAGGTTTCTGCTGTGAGTGATTCCCGAGACTGAGACTGCGGGGAGGCAAAGAACGAGGAGGTCGCGTGCAAAGAATGAGTCTTGAGAACGTAGGAACTGTATCAGGAGTCGTGGGGTCGCGTGGATGTTTGAGGTCAGGTTTCGGAGTAGGACGTCAAGGCGGAGCAGGCAGCGAGGGCCAAGACAAATGGATGTTTATCAAAGTCGCAAGACAGGAAGGTCTCAGTCACCAGGGCAAGGCGACAATAATAAGAGCAGGCGCCCGACATCCAATCCATGGCTGCTGAACACGCCCAAGGCTTGGCTCTGCTCCGTGACCTCATGGGCATCAGCAAGGCTGTGCAGGGGGGGAGACCAAGACATGGCGATGCTTAATTATTGCTGGTTCAATAGGATGGCTGGCCTCAAGATCGTCAAAGATCGCCCGGCTCGGGGAGTGTGAGGGAGGTCCTTTTGGTGCGTTCGCAGAAAGATTGTGGGTGGCCCGGTCCAGGTGACGTTGCTGCATGATGACGATGGCCTTTCCGACACCTTAAAATGGCAATGCTACGCTATTGTGCGTAGGCTAGCCAGCTAGTAACAGGGAGATGGCCATTTTGCTGGCTTGAAAAGAGAGCTGAGGTGTCAAAGCACCTGCATAGGTGTGCCACCGAGTACTGTAGTTAATTGTTGATCTTTGACGCTTTGAATTGTGCTCGCTCATCATGGCTGCGCGGACCAAGATTGTTGGGAGCGATCTCGGGCACAGTTGGCTTAAAGCACTACCTAAAGCTATGACTGGAAGCGGCTTACACGACTCTAGATCTTCGCCCAGCTTTACATTCCCCGATGAGGCGTCAATATAAAATATTAATTCAATATAACTATTAAATCTTGGTGTAGAAACCAACCTTTAAAGCGTTCTCTCCTACCCACAGAATAGGGCTTCCTCTACTCTATGGCAGGAATATCAATAACATCAAGCATCCACCGGATGAACTGCCATGCGTGTCGGTCTGGTCGGGTTGGGTGCTTCGAAATATATACATAAAGTATAGGTCAACATCACGGGTTGCTTACGAACTTAGAGACACAGGAGAGTTGGTACCTTACAGATTCAAAAATGCCTCAAACCATTTCATCCAGTACCTTGCCGCTGATTGTATTCGGAGGAGCACTTGATGGTGGGATAGAGGGGCATCTTTTGACACTAGATCATGGTCATTGTAGTTAAGAAGTACTTTTTCCAGGGCCTTTTTATCTTCTCTCAAGAGGTATCTCTTACCAGGACTGTCCAAAGTATGATTTGCATGAGTCAACTCGAGCCCCACAAGCCATGGATCGAGTGATCGCGGAAATGCCCCTCCATGTGCAAGTACCCCGCTAAATCACGCGGCGGCCCTGAGTCTCTGACGCACCTTCGGAAGCAGTCTAAAACTTCGTGACTTTGCCTTTTTTTCCTCTCTGCAATCGCATCACAACGACGGCACCTACGACAGCCAAACTTGATCCTGAGCAACATGACTATCACTGTCGTTCTTGGGGCCCAATGGGGTATGTCTTTCTCCCTGGCCTAAAATACCCCTCCCCCGCACCCAGCCGATATCGGTTCCATCTCATTATACTAACCAGGACTTTCACAGGCGACGAAGGTGTGAGTACTCGAGGAGGACCCAACGCAGCCGACGACACCCAATTACTGACGATACTGTGTACTCAGAAAGGCAAATTGGTTGATGGACAGTGTCGGGACGCGCAACTTTGTGCCCGAGCCGCGGTAAGCACAACGCAGGCAGAATCCGGTCGACCTATAGCTTCCACCAACCTCCCAGACTTCCCCAAACAACGAATCTACGCTGGAATACCTGCTAATTATCGCCAAAGGGTGGCCACAACGCTGGCCATGAAGTGCGGTTGGTCGAATTCTTTCCATAGATATGTTATGTTGCTAATTGGTGTCAAGTATAAACGGAGTTTCGTATAGGTGGGAACCAACATACGTGAAAGGACTAGGTGGCTGCTAACACAGAGTTAGCTTTCATCTCTTGCCCTCTGGGCTGATCAACCCAAAATGGTTTGTCAAGTCGTTCAAGCTGGCCACAGCGAGGCTGATAAGTACCATAGCATGAACTTCATCGGTTCGGGCGTAGTCTTCCACGTGTTAGTCTTTATATGGCCCTCAACCCCTAGCCCGACCACTACACCTCACCCCTCAACCGAACATGCCAAGACTAACTCTTTCCTCTAGCCCAAGTTTCTTCAGCGAACTCCAAGAGCTCGAGGACAAGGGCCTCGTTGCGGTACATGATCGGATTCTTGTTTCTGATAGGGTCAATGTCCTCTTGGACATGCACATTGCAGTGGATGGTCTCGAGGAGAGGGAGCTTGGAGGTTCGTCCCACAGTGTCTGAGATTGTCGTCGAGAAACAGCAGCTAAAGTCTACCCCAGACGGAGCTATCGGAACAACAAAACGCGGTACGTTACCCCCAGGACTGCATGCTGGACCATCCCTTTCTATTTCTGTCGCCTCTTTGCGGGCATTCCCAAATCTCAAAAGCGGGGAGAATCTCGGTCATCGTCGTGCCAGCGACGCTATATGAGCAACGAGATCTAACGTCCGCCACAGGCATTGGCCCCTGCTACCAGGCAAGCAGAGCGGTAAGAGATAGTTACATCAAGGGAGCGGGCTGTGGGCTAACTTTCCCAGCGAAATGGCATCAAATTGACCGACGTCTTCCACCCTGAGCTTTTCGAACAGAAGGTGAGGCGCTTGGCCGATGGCTACCAAAAGCGCTTCGGAGAACTGTTCGATTACGACATCAAGGCCGAGCTTGCTCGTTTTGATGAGTACAGGGAGACGCTGAAGAAGTACGTCGTGGATGGCGTGTCCTTCATGAGATCCGCACAGCAGAGCGACATGAAAATTGTCATCGAAGGCGCAAACGTAAGGTTCTCATCCTATGACTAAACGAACAGTACTAAATTGAACAGGCACTGATGCTCGATATTGATTACGGCTCCTACCCAGTAAGTTTCCGTCAATTTGGCCTTGCACCTTGCATCAGTACTGATGATCAACTACAGTTCGTCACTTCGTCAAGTACTACGCTTGCTGGTATTATTGGTGGTCTCACACTGAACCCCAAGAACATCACAGAGGTGGTTGGAGTAGTCAAGGCTTGTACGTGGATTGCTTCAGGGTCGTGATTCACTTCTGACTAGCAACAGATACTACCCGTGTCGGGTCGGGAGCCTTCAAGACCGAAGATACCGAAGAGTACGTCTGAATTACCATGTTGAAGCCACTTTGAAGCTGAAAGACAACCTCAGGATTGGCACCAAGCTCCAGGAGATTGGACGCGAATGGGGAACATCGACTGGCCGCAGACGCCGATGTGGATGGTGAGTTTCCGTTATGGCTCCTGGCTGTTGACAGACTTACTGACCGTTCTCAGGCTTGGTGGGCACAACCTCAAACCCTTGGACAGTAGGGAACACGACTGACAAGCATATACAGACCTTGTTGTTGTCAAGTACAGCAACTCAATCAACTACTACGACAGCCTAAATCTCACCAAGGTAGACAGCGCCCCCGGCATGCTTATGACACGCGTCGAAACGCTCTAACGCTCTGCAGCTCGACATTTTGGATACTTTCGAAACGATCAAGATCGCCATCGCTTACAAGGTCGACGGAGAGGAACTCGACTCTTACCCTGCGGATCTGGACATCCTGGAACGAGCCGAGGTGGTTTACCACGAGATGCCAGGCTGGCAAAAGCCGACCACCAACGCCAAGACCTACTACGATCTCCCCAAGGCGGCCCGCGAATACATTGAGGTGAGCATATTCACATGCGCTAGCAGAACGAACAGTATCGCTGATCACTAGCAGTACATCGAGAAGTTTGTCGGAGTCAAGGTAGGAGTGCGCGCATACTGACCCGGACCGCAATTACTAAAGTTGAGCAGGTCAAGTACATCGGCACTGGTCCTGACCGTGAGGCCATGATCCAGCGCGCCTGATCACGCCAGATAGATGAGGCATCCAAGGTTTGACTTGGATCGTACGCAAAGAGTGTTGGCTGCCGAAGCCATTCGGTGACCCGAAGAAAAGAATAGTGTGCGCATTGGGAGAATAGATTTGGGATTTCTCACAGGTAGGCCATACCTTAGACTACAAATGTCGGGCCACGGGTTCGCCCTGGGCCGATTACCTCCAAAAAAAAAAAACGTATGGGATACTCAGGTCGAGGAACATAGACTGGAAAAGCTCCGAATACGTTATCATCTTGTAAAGTCCACCTTGGTGGATCGGTGACCTTAAACACATCCGTTTTGTGCGTCGTAGCGTAATGACGGACAAGTTTCGTGTTTTTGCCTTTTTGAGACTCTGCTTTCAACCAATCATGGACCTCTTTCCATGTAGTACATCTTTGAAGAAGAGACTGTAGAATGACATGCTCTTTAGCAGTTCATCCATCATATCATCTTGTGAGCCGAGATTATTGAGAATGTCTATATTCTCCTAGCTCGCAATGGTCTGAATCACCTGCTTTAATCCTTGACAATTAAACGTTTACCTTGAGTGCACCAGTCACTTGATTCATAAGCCTAAAGTGAACGATAAATATCAACGCTAGGAGATGGGATTTCGTCCAGTGGAACAGGGGTGTCTTTTAGAAGCACGAGGATCCCGGCAATTGTCTCCGCCGCGAGATGGATACGACAACTCGCAAATGCCGTACAATGCATTCGGCAGTCGAATACGAAAAATGCGTTAACCCGCATTGGCGACTCGCTATTAACCCTACCAATTTACAAACACCTGGATACCTAGACAATACCATCGCTAGCGTCTCCCCCAAAGATGGCGCCAACCACCTGGACCTCGGGAGAGGCGCTGAACCAACAAATCCAATCCCTTGGTGCTCCATCAAGGGTCGGCCCGGGGAGGTCAACTTTAAAGTGGGAATGATGACAGTGCACAGTGCTTTTTACATGAGTTAACCATGAATAAAATACAACATAATAAATAAGCTGTTGGCTATGCTAATGCTCCGGACCCCTATTATATAAAAGTACAAGGCATGGACCGCCTCAGGTCTATCGACTCATGAACCAAGACCCCCCTAAAACGCCATTCACTGATTCCTGATCCTGTCTTGAATCATGCATGATTTCCCCCCCTTTCTCTCGTATGATGTTTGGGTATCAACCAACGCTACTATTGCAACATCGAAACAATGCTGAACCAACCCCTTTGCCCGTCTATGTTCTTCTACCCCACCAGCCCTTCTTGATGCTTAGGTCAAACATGTTATTGTGGACGTCCTCGGCCATGACCTTGACCGCACCCTTCATAGCCCTCTCGCTTATAGTAAACGAGTCGTAGAATAGGTGGTCGTCGGGGGCTTGACATTCAGCCGTCAACTGCTTCGTCTCGATGACCAGATCGTCCGTCTTGCCCTTGACGCATGGTGTCCAGACATCCGCGAACCGCATCGAGTCGTTGCTTGATAGAGTTCCACGCCCTAGCGAGTCTGCCACCTTTAGGCGCTGCATCTCTTCTTCTGTCATGGCATCGAGGATTGGCCTGACGGGGTTGAGTTTGAATCCAGTTCGCAGAGGGTATGGAGCAAGGATGACCCGATCGCCCGCTTTCTCGGTTTCGTTGGTGTGCTCAGCATTGCTGGCAGTATCGTCCCTCTTAGCTTTGCTCGACTTTTCAGATTTTTCTTCCACCAACCCATCGGGCTTTTGCGTACCCTTGTCCCTCCACTGCGAGATTGCAAAGGAAATCATCGTGTTCCAGTGCTTGGTGAGCTCGGCAGCATTTCGAGTCTGCTCGGCAATGCTGTTGGGAGACGGCGGCTTCGGTCGACCATTCCAGCCGGGAGTCATCGAAATGTCGAAAAGCGTTGGGATCACGATGCGGAAGCTCTCAAATCTGCGCTCGTCGACCTTCTCAATGGCGCCGGGGGCAGTTAGCTCCTTGACCTGGGATTCGGTGGCATTGGTCCAAAAGTCCGAGTAGGCAACGGATTTCGGGTCCAGTGATGCCCGATACAGAACCTCGGCCTGTTCGATGATCTCGTCCGTCATTATCTCGATAATCTCCTCCGAGTGTTCTCGTGGCATCGACGCCATGTTCCAGATTTCCCAAAGACCAAAGGTGAAAATCCACAATGTCTCACGAGGGGTGGCTTCAGGTGACGGCATGGCAAGGAACTCTTGTACCTGATCTGCCAGACTGGGGACTTGGAAAGGGGCTGGATACTGCTGAGAAAGGTAGTCGTAGTCCAGAGCAGGCTTTTCATGGACGTCGGTGTGTCGGGTGATGTCGAGCAGCTTCTGTATCGCCACTTCGTAGAGAGTGCTGTTGACGAGACCTTTGCTGGGACCACCAGACGGCACGAGGGAGATGTGTGATGTGCAGTTGAGCTGGGATGGATGTTAGTTACATAGCTAGAATCTGTTGTTCGTTTAGCTCACCTCTTCGCATAGCTCCTCAGTCCACGTTCGGCGGCTTCGCGAGGCGTCGGTGGCGCTACCCATGATATCGGGGGAACCGAATACCACGATCCTCAGGTTCGCTTCTGGTAGCGGCTCAGAGCCCCACGATAGAAAACCATGGTGAAAGGAGCCGCCTGATATGCGTGCAGGCAACAGGCCGAAAAGCAAAAACACAGCAAAGAACAAGGCCGATGCTTGGAGGAGTAGCCTGAAGCCTCCACGCCAAACACGGGTGGAGCAGAAAATGACGACGTTTCTCAGGCCGAGCTGGCTCATCAAAGAGTTGTCGCTGTCATGATGGCTTGGGAGTTGATGATCGAGCTCGGAGGGTGATTTCCATACTGTGTTGAGCATGATGCGACGAAGCATAGAGTGATGAAGTCGTAAACCACGTTCCAAGTCTAGGGCCGGGGGACAAGTGTACTTGTAAGGGTGTTTATAGAGATGCCGTTCCAGCCGAGGCCGGTGATGATAAGCGGATAACGGAAATGCGAAAAATAAATCACTGCCGATTTATCCAGTCGAGAACAAGAGGCGTACAGTTGAACCTCGCCCAAATTCTGAAGCGCTGACGTCGTGTGGAATGTTGGCAGTGAGAAACACTGACTAGGTTCGGGCGAGGCGTATAGATGTGGATGAAGCGAGAGAGCGAGGACGAATCTGCGTCAGCTGCTCATAAAGAAAAAGGCGAGAAGCCGAGAATTGGTCTAGAATGTTTATTGAAACCAAAGGGAAAAGAAGTCGGGAGAAAATGGTTGAAACGAAAAGACTTGATGTGTGCAGTGTAGTGCAGCGCAGTTGGGAAACTCGTCAAACAAAGCAACAACACAAAGTCAGGAGAAGACGGGAGGGAGTTGGCGGGGGACAAACAAGGGGTGTGCAACGGCCTCAGCGGCGGACCACCGACTTATTAGGCACTAGAATACCCTTCCCCCCAGGTCACCGGCTTGGATGAGCCAAGAGTTATCGTTGCCGTCCAAGAGCTTCGATTTGCGTGGCCAAGCTCGACCTGCCAGCCTTGTGGGAGCGGGATTGTGGGAGGAAGAGGCAACATCAGGGATGCAAATGCAAGCGCATGGATAACAATTGCTAGAAAAAAACTCGATGGATCCCTGCGCATTTGTGGGATTCATGTGGCCAAGAGTCCAAGACAAGTCGTCGCTCAGAGGTCGAATCTCCTGAATTTCGCCTGTTTCAGCCAGTCGTTGGGTGTCGTCTTGCAGCTGTCCGTCGAGTTTGTGCCCACATCCCGTGAGTGTTGCGTTGCGTTGCGTCGCGGTGCCGTCTCCCGCAATGTGAGCCCCGATCCGGTCTTGTCCTCGTCATCTGAATGGCTTGCCCACGAACCAGCTGTCGCGTCCAGAAGCCGATATCCGTAAATTGGAACCCCAAGGAGTCGTCGTCAGCAGTGGAGCGTTCGCGGTTGGCGGCGCCTCCTGTCAAGCCACCGGCACTGCGGCACAGACAAGGGTCCCTTTCCAGAGTGACATTGTCCAAGACATGCTGCCGTTACATTGGCGAGTTTGCGATTGTCGAGAGCGGTGTTGCACCCTCTGGGAGATTGTGTGGGGTGACGAATAACTGTAGATGAAGTACGTCTTGGTGTTTTGCGACGCCAGAAGAGGCAACCAGGCACGAGGCAAACCCCAAGACTCAGGTACCAGGCATGCATCATAGCGGCTCCTGTCTCAACGCATCCATCATCCCACGTATTGCAGCAAGCCCCAAACGTCGATGCATAACGCCCTATCCTGCCATCATCAATAGGTATGTAAACTCGCCTCTACCACTCTGTTTCATTTTGTCCTGATTCTTCCCTCAAAGCGGTTGGCTTCTCCGTCCACTATCTGCCCTGACGTTACACGTGCATCTGCTCAAGGGCAACATATATCGTGCGTCATCAGTGAGATCGGTAATAACACCTCGCAGCGCCGAGATTGTAGGTACATAAAATGGGCCGATGATGAGGTCTGCCGAGATGTCTGCTGTCCTCCCAAGGACAAAGTCGGCATCTCGTCTTGTGTAGCCATCTGCCTGTGGAAGGAGATTGCAGAGATATGAGTCTGTACCTCACTCAACGCTCAAAACCTGTGGCTTGAAACAGTTGACGGGTTCTCTGTGCCACGATACCATCATCACGGCGGGCTGCTGCCAAGAGCTGTCCAATCTTGGACAGTGTAGGATGAGGTGCTGTCAATGCTGCTGTCGCTCATGCGCTGGCATTTCCCCGTGTCTCCCCATTTCTTTTGGCCGAGCCGGCCCCGGACTTGAGGCAACTCCAGACGCCATACAACGCAAACTTGCAGCCATTTGTGACAACAGTCGCCATAAGCGAGGCAGGGCCGCCAGCCTGACGATGCTGATTCATCCATGTCAGCTTTTGGCGCGATTGGCACTCGAATCTCTGTGGCGGGTGAGCGCTAAATGACTTGGGTTGCCGCGCTGGGCTGTGCAAAGCCAAGGCCTTGGTAGAGGGTGTAAGCAAGGCAGATCGCAGCGCGATCGCCAAAGAAGAAATTGACGAGTTGAGTTGAGGGGATGCCCTGCAGATGATTCATTAACTGCGGAGTCCTAGTTCTTGTAAATACCCTCCCTTTAGACCGCGTCACGCGGGTCAAGGAATAAACGAGACACCAGAGGCGTGCAGTTTAGCGCTGCTTTGAAAAACCTCTCGAATGACAGTACTCGATAGAATAGCCTAAAAGGATAAAGATATCTTGTTAAAAAGAAGCAATAACTTAGATTTCTTGTTACTTACCTATTTTAATATCATTTTTTAAAACACCTTCATATCTTTAATCCTTACGGGACAATGGGCTAATTGAAGCTCAGCAGTGTCTTCTTGTCTTCACCCGGCTCCGCGTCTTCCATCACGGAAATGCCATCCCTGCATGAGTGGAGAATCCCTTTCCGGCCTTTGGTTACTCGATAACACAAGGTTCGAGCACATTTTTCGTATCAGCACGACGGAAACGTGAAAAAGGTTTGCCCTGATGTTGATGTCGCTTGGCCAACCTTTTCAGAAAACTGGAGTCTTGTCCTTGATGAAGGAAACCATTGAGTCAAGTCTCAGGAATTTGAGATGAGTAGAAAGGTACAGGTCCAATCGGGGAAACTTGACCAAGACAAGCGTTCCCTCATAACGGGGTCTTGGAAAAGAAACCATCCTAGAAATATCATGTCTCAGACTTTAAGGACAAGTGGTCAGCTATTGCCTCGCCGGGTTAAATAGCTGAGGCTATCATGAGTTCACTTGGACACGACCGGAGCCGAGTAACAAGCGGGAGATGAAGAGCAATTTAAAAAGGGCCCTGTTCAAGGGCGGCCAAGATGAGCATCTCTCTCAAGGGCGGTAAACAACCGTCACGAGGGAGAAAGACGGTTGCTCGAGGCCCAAATGGAGGTGAATGACCTTTTTCAAGGGATTCTTGTTCTTTTTATAGAGGAGGCGCATTCACACCTTGCAGCAACCACCAAAACAGCCCCACACATGCATCACCAAACGGGGCTACATCTAACGCGGTCAACCAAAGTCCTAAACAAGTTTACCCGCATCACGATTCTCTTGAAGCTTCCCTTGATATTGGCCCGATAACAATTAGACCGTACCTATTAGCCAATCTTCTACTCGAAACGGAAATCACCTTAATCCCTCTTGTCAACTCTCATACATCTCGGCAACACGTCAGAGTCGCATCCGAGTGGCTCCTGCACGTGCATCTCACCCCTGTCAGGCTTTGGACGCCTTGAAACCGTAAACCCGTCACCAACCACGGATGCCACTCGGGACTGCCTCAGCCTCTTCCCGACAACATCCCATCTCACTCTTGTCGACAAAACATCTCACTACTGCGTACATGGCTGGATCCTCCATCCATAGCCTCACACTACGCGAACCGACCCTCGTATCGCCAATCCAGCGTCTGGCTTACGCTGCGAACCTCTCCACTATCGATACGCCGCTCCGCGCCTGAATAGCACCCTCCCTCCGCAGCAGCCTGCCCGCTGAACACCATGTGCGCGAGTCTCCCGCGGCTACGACCCTTCGAGTCATGATCGCATCGAGGCCACTTTGCCCGCTGCCTCGCCCTACACCATCAGCTGCCGCCCCACGGCACGCTGCGCATTTGCGCTATCCCGCTACCTCAGCTCGAGTCCTCCCGCCCTCCCCCCACCCCAGCCGCCGCCGATATTTTGATTCATCAGGCTTGATCTAAGCCTGGCCGCCGGTATGCTGTCCCATCTGAGGTTCCACAGGCGAGGGCCATCGAATCCTGCTTCGCCATCTCCCGATCAACATACTACTTCACCCCCGGCCGGCCACTCTGCGCCGTTCCCTTCCGATGTGCTCTCACCAGACCTACGCCCAACTTTGTCGAGTCCTTCTGGCCTTCCTCCCACTCTTCCTCCTATAGCCCGCGTTACGTCAGACGAGCTCGATCAGTCGCGGCACCATCAACAAAATGCTAGCATGGCAAGTCAGGTAGAATCTCGTCCTCACCAGACACCAAAGTCGCCCTTCAACGGCGGAACCGGGTTCATCGGTGGTGTCGCCCTCAGAAACTATCAGCGCGATATGGAAGCCCAAGCTGCCGAAGCTATGGATGGCGGAAGAGGTCTTGGTCTGGTGGACCAGTATTCAGCTTCACAACCAACTCTAGCTGCGAATGTTCCCCCATCTACCAGGCCGCCTCCCCAAGTTCTGAAGAACACGAAAGCAGCATCTTCTTTTAGCACGCCCACAGAGTTTCAGAATTCTGCACCTGTGCCTACAGGCCGGCGCCCTGCAGGTACCCGGCTTGTCACAGACCTTCCCTCGCTTGTTCACTCTACCAGCAACACCGAGAACCCGAAGCCGAGGAAAGGTCTTCCGTTCCTCAAGAACCCAATGTCTACTCTGTTGATGAGGCGGAAAAACAGTCAACATGCGCCAGACCTTCTTCCACTGCCCATGGCAAAACAGAAGGAAGAGCCCATGTACGATCCACGCATCAAGGGTACTCGAATTCACGATTTCAGTGCGCCACGACCAAAGAAGAATGCGCCTACCAAGGATCCCTCGCAAGCATCTTTTACCTCGCCAGTCCCTGGTTCTGCTGTGCCTCCTGAGCAAGAAAGGTTTCCAAACTCACCGGTTGTACAGCCTGAGCAGGCTCCCGTGTCAACCTCAACCCAGCGCATTCCCAGTAACGCCTCTGAGTCCGTTTACTCGCAAGATTCAAAGCTGGTCAATAATACGCCAAGCACAATATCCAAAGGGACACACGATCCTATACCAGAAACAAGCGCATCCCCTGGACCAGAGGCACCCCCAGTTCCCCCAAAAGACGAAGGCCCAATCTCAGTCCAGCCAAGGTCACCACAAGCATCCCGATTAATCGAAAGCAATGCCTCCATCTATGCAAGGTCGACTGCCTCGGTTCGAGTTGGCCGTTCCAGGGGCCCTTCGCTCTCTGGGTTATCAGGCAAGGACATCCCATCAGCAGTCCCCCGACACATGAAGAGCACATCCTCAAGATTCAGTTTCGACATGATTGGAGCCGCCAAGCAGGAAAAACTCCTAGAGGACAGACACAGACAACGAGAGCTAGAGAAGAAGACAAGCGAGCCTTCTGGCCCACGAGATTCTCGGTTTGACGACTTTGATGATGACGCATTCGATTACGACGCCATGATGGATGACGATGGCCTGGAAGAAAGGATCCCTGGCGTCAACGCGGACTATGAAGACGACATCTACGAGGAAGAAATCCCTATGGTGGGCGAGGACTTGGACGATAACCTCGAGGACAACCTCGACGACCCCGACAACGATCAAGAAAACTTTTCTGGCTTCGTTTTCCAACGATCCAACCCAACGTCGTCGCTGACAAGCCCACTCAGTGCAGGCTTCATACCCACCCCAAGAGATACAGATGGCAACCGCATCGGCTTCGCGACGAGTCAATATACTCCCAACATGCCTGAAGGATTGTCTCCCAACCTCCCCATCAATCCCCAGGCCATGCAGCAAATGCAACCTGGTGGGCTGGGAATCCAGGGTTTAGATGTGCCTCGAGTGCCCAGTTTGGAGAATGAGGCGGCATTCCAGAAGAACCAAGACCTGCCCCCCATGAATATGGGACGCTCGCTTAACGATGATGATCTGTACTTCGATAATGGAATGCTAGGATTCGAGAACGAGTTCGCCGAGGATCTTGCTGCCCCTCCAGAATGGGACGATACCCCCTTTGACGAGTCGATATTCGACAACAATGATACCGATCAGTTTGGGCGGCCGATAGCTGGCGCTTTCGCGCAAGCTCAGTCTGAAAGACGAGCGGCAAAAGAGGATGACACAAAACGGGAGTCAGACATGACGACCCGATTCTCGGCACATTCGGCGGCCTCACAATCAACAGCACATACGTCGTTGAGCGTTGAAGTCAAGAATGGTACCGAGACAATGGCTCTGAAAGACAGCTCTGAGTCTAACTCGCCAGCTGAGCCTTCCGCTGCGGGTCAAGAGGCTCCTTCAGATGGCACCATGGCCGCCTACCAGGCCGCACTCGCCGCAGCTGCTCATAAGGCGGCGGCGTCGGGCAAATTTCAACGTAGCTCATCGCCACCACTCCAGGACACGCCCCTATCCGAGCCAAGTCATTCCCCGGATACCCCAGATCGCGGGGAGTCGTTCAAGGAGGACCTTGATGGCATCGATGACTACGATGATTATGGCCAGTCATACGAAGATTTGGCTGACTTTGAACTCGACGACGATGCCATCATCGCCGAGGCCAATGCTAGTGCCCTGGCCAACGACTGCGATGGGTGGTATGGTCAGGAGTTTGGCTTCTATTCGGCACCTACCAACTCGCATCATGGGTCTGAAACAGTTGACTACGAATACGCCAACGGCGGCTTCTTTGGTCCTAAGGGAGGTCTGGATCGCAGCACCAGTGGTCGCATGGTGTCAAGAGAACCCAACCTCACGCCTATTACGGAGCGCTCCGAGTATTCTAACAGAAACTCGATCATGAGCCTCAGTATGCCTGGGTTCGGCGGGGGAACGCCTTTGCAGAGTCCCGGCCTCGCTCAGCTGGCTCTGCTAGGAGACCGTGGTGATGAAATGAGCCTGTCTGCGCTGCTTCGGCTTCGGTCCAGAGCCTGGGGAGGATCCCAGGCTAGTCTCGCTTCCAGTCAGAATGGTTCACCTCGATCAGAGAGAGGCGACCTATCCAGTTCGCCTTGGGGCCCCAACTTTTCGAGCCCACCTGCTTTCCACGCTCGAAAGAACTCAGTGCTATCCACCATTAGCCACGATTCAGACAGCGTTAGCTTTTCCGGAAGCCCAACGTTGACGGGTGGCATTCCGGGCTTGGGCTTGGGCTCTCCTCCGCCTCCTGTCCCGCCATTGTCACCACTTGAGTCCGACATGCGGGAGGATGCCAAGATTGCCCCTTTGAACGTCAGCCGACCTACATCAAAGGTCTATGAGAGCGGTATTTCACTGTCGCCAATATCAGACCCCGAAGAGAGCATGCCACCATCCGCCATGGTGAGCCCTCTGGAGCCCTCTAATAATGTCAGTATCCCCGAACCTGGCGACACCCCTCAACGACCCAGCATAGGTCATCGGCACAAGGGTTCAGCCGACAGTATATCATATATCCAAGAGCAAGACAGCGGCGCGACTCGTTGGGTCATGGAGCGACGGCGTACAGGTGAATTTGGGCAGGTCGAAGTTCTCGAGCGAGAAGTTGTCGAAGGGGGGCGGATATAGGAAGACTGCCGACTCTGCGAAAATGTTCATGGTTGAAAATGACGGCATAAACACATATATGTTAATACACTATGGGATGAGGAGTTATGGATATGGGTTGGGTATATATATATACAGGAGACACTGGTGCGAGCCGCGACACCGAGCCTGAGCATGGGACCTCTTTCTCGGATGGCTCGACTCCCGAAAGGGTTGGCTCACAAAAGAAAAGTGATTGATGGTGTTTGGAGAGCGGATTTGGAATTTGTCGGCCTGGAGCTGGGTATATAGTGTTCAGTCCCACGGGCTGCATAGAGCAGCATTATGGATATGATGACGCCTGAAGAGAATATGTTCTGATTGCGACCTGATTAAGAGCGCAAGATATTGTTCTTCGGTGATGACTATGGGATATTAGATGGTGAACTGTTCCCCATTCCTCATGGTACGCTGATGCCACATGCTTCAATGCCTCTTCGAACAATAGGAGTAGTCATCCTGAATTAGGATACACATTCCAACTGTTTTTGACTACCTTTGCACCAAGGCTCATCAAGATTCATTCCAACCAAGAGATTCTGCCTCCGAGTGAGCATGATTGTTAGAGCGTTCTTGCTGTTTCTGCATCTTCACATCGTGCCGGCAGGTACAGGGGCGTTGGCTGAGAAAGCGCAACTGCCCTCCATGGCAACCTTACCTAACGTCAAAAGGTGAGCTCACCTTCTCTTCGGGACATCCCAACTCCCCTCTTACATGACCGAAATTGACGACTCGAGTCTTGGACCTGTCTTGAGATTGAAGTTGGTGTCGTTTTGGAGTCTTCTTGGACCTCTACCCTTTGTTTCGCTGACTACGCCTCTTGGACCTTCCATTCAGGACGAGTACTCTGACTTATCTCTCAAGATGCGCTCCTTACTTCCCTCAGCTGCCGCCCTTGCTCTTCTTTCCACCTTTGTGTCTGCCGACAAGCCTCTCATTGGCGATCTCGAAGCCTACAATCGCGGCTATCTTGGCGAATTCCCCTCTCAGACCTTCCAGTCTTCGGATATCGTTGCCCCGTTGTTCCAGGTCAACACATTTGACCCGAGTCTCATCGACAACTCAGGATACCTCTTCCTGACCCTGGAGTACAGAGGCAAAGGAGGTCCAGCCATCTTCTCGAGCAAGGATCTCAGCCTGGTGTATGCCGATCTCAAGTACCAGCGAGCCTTTGATGCCCGCGCGCAGGAGAGTCAGGGTTTTCAATACCTTACCTTCATGGAGGGAGGTTTCTGTCACATCTTTGACAATACGTACCAGAAAAAATGGACGGTTACAGTGGATGGTCTGGGTGGAATGGAAGCTGACATCCACGAGTTTCAATTCACCACCACGGGAACTGCCATCATGTCGGTGTACCAAGACGTCAGATTCAACCTGACGGTTCTTGGGGGGGCGATGGATGGGTGGCTCAGCGATTCCGTCTTTCAGGAGGTTGAACTTGAAACGAACCGCGTCACCAATGTGTGGAGAGCGTCAAATCACTTTAACCTGAACGACACCTTGCTCGAGTACAACCCCGAGACGACTTTCAGAGGAGGCGAAGGCTTTGACTGGTTCCATCTGGACAGCGTGTTCAAGGTATGGGGTTGTTTCTCGGATTGATTGAAGCATTCTCACCATTCAAACAGACTAAGGACAGCCACTATCTGGTGTCATCGAGGGCACTATCAGCGATCGCCCTGCTTCGAGCCGAGGATCTCAACCCGCGGTGGATTCTTGGGGGCAAACGAAATCAATTCAAAGATCTCAGCGACGGAAACGCAACAAACTTTGCCCACCAGTACAATGCCAGGTTTGTCCAGGGAAACGAGAGTCGGCTCAGCTTCTTTGACAACCAGGTTCGCGAGACGGGCGCTTGCAGCCAAGGCAACTGCTCTCGCGGAGTTGTTGTGGAACTCGACTACGAAGAGATGACAGTAAAGCTCCTGCACGAATTTTACCATCCTCAACGCATCTCGTCTGGCTCTGGTGGAAGCGTTCAAGGCCTAGACAACGGCAATTTCCTGGTTGGTTGGGGTGCAAACCCTGGCATCACGGAGCATCTTCCCAACGGAACAATGGCCATGGACATCCAGCGAGGGGTGATTCCCCATGACCATGAAGATCAAGTGGACATGGATATGTCGGTTTACCGCGCATGGAAGATGGATTGGGATGGCCGGCCACCATGGGGCCCGTCAATTGCATCAGTGTCCCCGGGAAATGTGACGACGGATGCTACCATCTATCTTTCATGGAATGGCGATACCAAGGTGGCCAGATGGGAGGTGGTAGGTCATTTCACAATCTCAGTTGGCTGATTCGGTATTGACAATGACAGTACGCTGGCGAGGACGAGAAGAACGTGACAACTTCTCGCAAGGTCATCGGCAACTCGACTCGCACAGGTTTTGAAACGGAGATCCTGCTCGAAGGGATTTCTCATCCCAAGTTTGCAAGAGCCGCTGCCCTGGACAAAGATGGCGAGGTTCTGGGTCTTACAGCTACAGTCGACATTGCGAGCGGCGAGATCCATGGGAACAGCAGCAGTATCTAGAAGATCAGGCCTGACCCTTCAGATGAAGACATAATCAACAATCCAGAAGAAACGAAAGGAGACAATGAAGAGGAGGAGGAGGAGGATGCATCATTCCATGCGAGTCCCTCAATGGGTTTGGTGTTTGCTATGGCGGTGATTGTCGCATGCTATCATTTCCTTTAAGGCGCGTTTGGTAGGAGGTGTCAGGGTGAAGAAGGGATCCATTTTTGGTGCAAATATTCAACAAAGCTGAGTTGTGTGTGGTATGGGGAAAGCAAACAAGGGAACTAATTCAATCGTGTAGGCAGATGAAGTTATCGTCTTATAGCTAGGCTGACTCTTTCAACAAAATAATTCATCAAGACGATGTTAACATGGATGCTAAGAAGATCCATGGCAACTGTGGGCTTGAGGCGTGTTCAGGGTAGATGACAGCTGACTAAGCTAAATTGCCGTCATCAACTTCTTGCCGTGATGGCGACCTTGATGCAGACTGGAACTTAGCATTGTCGGCTTCACTTTTATCTAATTTCTCTTCATTTTTACATTGTTTGTTTCATTTGTTGTAGGAGACCATGAATGCAGCTCTATCCCTCCGTCGGATGCCTTTTGTTTGCCGGCGATGCCTTCAGCTTTCTCGCCAGCGGGGACCATTGCCACTCGCCCGGTTCTCATCCCAAGTCGACAAGCCTCAAGATGAGGGTCAGAAACAAGGGGAATCCACCAAAAATGAAGAAGTCAAGAAACAAGAACCGGCATCCGAGAAGGAGCTGGGCCCAATGGCTCGAAGATTAGAGGAAGCTACTGAGGAAGCCCTTTTCACCGGCGGAAGAGCGGGACGTCGAGCAGTTGAGGATGCGGGCTTCTCGGATGAGTTGAAGGAGAGGCTCTTGAGCAAGATTGCCGATGCAAAGTTCAAGTCGGAGCATGCGGGCGCTTTTACGGAGGCTGGTCTGTCCTCGTCGGCAGGCGAGGGCACGAGACACATTGCTTCGGCGCAGGCTTGGACGGGGGAGGAGAACACGGCGGACACGGTGCTCAGAATGCTCGACGATGCAAAGAAGCCGCTTGCTCCTGGTCTTAGGGGCAAGTACCAGCCGCCGCCGGTGGACATGCGGCTTCAAAAAGAGCCTACTCGGTCACCGGGGCAAAAGGTTGCTACGGCAAGGGATAGGGTGTCTACGTATGTCGGCATGGGAGCCAAAGATAAGTCCAAGAACGGTATGAGCGAAGAGGAGAGGGAGGCTTGGCGAAAGGAGCTGCGAGAGAGGTTTGAACCAGGGGCGAGGGCACTGCCAAACACCATCAGCGGGCTAGCGGCGCTTGCCAACGAGCGTATCGAGAACGCCATCGCTCGGGGTCAATTCAAGAACATTCCTCGAGGCAAAGGCATTGAAAGGGACGCAAGGGCCGATAACCCGTTCATCGACACGACAGAGTACATCATGAACAAGATGATTCAGCGACAGGACATGGTACCACCGTGGATTGAGAAACAACAGGAGCTCGTCAAGGCAGCGGGTGCGTTTCGGGCGAGGTTGAGGAATGATTGGCGGAGACATGCGGCGAGGATGATTTCTTCGAGGGGCGGTTCGTTGCAGGAGCAGATGAGAAGAGCAGAAGAGTACGCTGCCGCTGAAGAGGTTCATAACCCGATTGCGAGGAAAAAGGTTGAAGAGGAGGGAATAAAAAAAGCTCCGCAAGTTGTGGGAAGACCGTTTCGTGATGCAGCGTGGGAACAGGCCGAGCACGCATATCACAAGCTTACGATTGAGCATCTCAACACTTTGGCGCGGAGCTACAACCTCATGGCGCCTGACTTGGCAAAGAAGCCTTATTATGCTCTCGAGCGGGAGCTCAACTCTTGCTTTGCTGATGTAGCGCCTACAGTGGCACGAGAGATTCGAGACCGCGCGGCGGGTGGGACAGCAAGATCGCTTGGGGGTACTGGTCAGAGGGCCAAGCAGACAGGGCTGTTAGAGTCGTTGGCTGGGAAGGGGGACAATGTGAGGGTCCACGTTGAAGCGGAGGAGAAGGCATATGGGCTGAAACAGTGGTGGAGGGATGTGTGGAAGAAGGACTGAGGGGACCGGTTCTGTAGACATTATTTCACGACGGATGTAAGAATGTGTACATTACACGACAGCATGGAGAAAACGAAGGGTGTAATAGGGAGTTACGAGGATCTTTGATAACTCGTGTTGATTGGGGTTAACAAATCGCGTTTGGTGTGAAGTTCGCCCGGCCTTACCACGGCCATGGGAATCTCTCCAACTGCTCGGCGACTTCAGGGGTTCGACAACGCTGAGTGGCTGCTGATCTTTCTTAGTTTCTGGGCGTCAACGCCGAGACCGCCATGCAACCAGGGAAGCGGAGCCGCATGTCTTCAATTGACGGTGTGTTTCTTGCGTGATAAAGGTTCGAGAAGGTTGCTAACAAGCATGTTGTGAAGGGCTTAACCATGGGCGAATCATGCTCAGGCATGCTTGGGACACTCAGACGACCGAAAAGGCAATCAAAAAGCTCCAATTTCCTCACCTTCTAATAACCCATAAACTTCAGCCGTTAAACACCGAGACCCCGGCCATCTGCGAGTAAAGATTGGAACGGCCCACTTGGACATGGACTGCACATGCATGGCACTTTGAACCCAACCTCTCCTCTGCCCACGGTTCATGGCCTCATGAGTCCCGGTCTCTTAGTAAGAGACAAGTCACATACTGGGCCGTCCGAAATGAGCAAAACGTCTTTATCCCGACTCGGCCGGCCATGGTTCGTCCCGCTTGGAGCCGAGAATCCGCCCCTAGAGCAAAACTCGTCGGCCTCGGGGCCCCATAATTTTCCAAAGAAAGGCTCCTCCCGACCCCATCAGACTTTGGCCCAGACTTTCTCACCTCCTTGTGTCCTTCTTCTTGCTTTGCTTGTTCGTTGCCGCTGTCGATGGTGAGTGCTGCTACCGTTCTTGTGCAGCCGCATTGGTTATTGTTACTTTATCCTGGTTGGTCCACCTAGACCTTATCAGTTCGAGTGTAGTCCCGACCTTGGTCTCGCAATCTCTCACTTGTCTGAAGCTCTTCAGACAGTCTGCCTGAGGCCTGGCTGACATTCAATTTCATCAGCGTCTCTGAGCCATCCAAGACTGGTATTCTCCTGGTTCCCGTCAGTTGAGCCACAACACCATCTTGGCATAGCTTGTCAAGCTCTCCCACCCATTGCAGACTTGACCAAGCAAAGCCATGGCCGACAACCAAGACCAGGTGTCGCCAGCCCCGGCTGACGCCCCGCCGTCAAAGACACCTGCCGATACTTCGGCCGCTATTGACTCGGCCGTTGACGACTCGGCCGCGCTTGACAGCTCCGATCCCAGCAAGACGCACCGTAACATCATCGAGCATGCCCGTGCCGCCGCTCACAAGGAGCGCAACATGACCCTTCGTCAGGGCATCAAGCTTTACCCCAAGGCCATCTTCTGGAGTATCCTTATCTCCACTTGTATCGCAATGGAGGGTTATGACATTAGTCTTGTCAACAATTTTTGTATGGCTCTCAGTCCCCTTGTCCACTTGACAATCTATTTGTTCTCAAACACAGCCTGGGATGCCCACCCAGCATCACTACCCTCAACATTCCATCCCTGTAGTTGAGCCATCCTCTGACACTTGCCATTAGACGCTTTCCCCCAGTTCAACAAAAAGTATGGTGTTCTTGGCGACGACGGCACTTACCAGGTTCCCGCCGCGTGGCAAGCCGGTCTGAGCAATGTAAGTTGGACACTCGTCCTATATCCTCGTGTCTTCGCTCTCAGAGAGAAGAGTAGTCGCTGACAGTTTGCCGATTAGGGTGCCAACTGTGGTGAAATTATCGGTCTCTTCATCAACGGCTGGGTTTCGGAGCGCCTTGGGTATAGATACACCGTGTGTGTCTGCCTGATCTGTGTCACCGGCTTCACGGCCATCTTCTTTACCGCCCAGAACGTCCAGACTCTGCTCGTTGCTGAGATTCTGTGCGGTATCCCGTGGGGTATCTTTCAGACTCTCACCATCACCTATGCGTCCGAGGTCTGCCCTGTGGCTCTCCGTGGCTACTTGACCACCTATGTCAACTTCTGCTGGGGTCTCGGTCAGGAGATTGGTATTGGCGTTATCCGCTCCATGCTCAACCGTACCGACGAGTGGGCTTATCGTATCCCCTATGCCCTGCAGTGGATGTGGCCGTTGCCCCTCTGCGTGGGTATCTTCTTTGCGCCTGAATCGCCCTGGTGGCTCGTCCGAAAGGGTCGTAGCCAGGAGGCCAAGCAGGCCTTGCTGCGTCTAACCAGCCTTGACCGCGAAACTGACTTTGACGCCGACGAGACCATTGCCATGATGGTGCACACCACTGCCCTCGAGGAGAAGATGACTGCTGGTGCCTCATACTGGGACTGTTTCAGAGGGGTCGATCTTCGCCGAACCGAGATCGTTTGCATGACCTGGGCGATACAGAACTTGAGCGGCAACTCTTTCTCCAACTATTCCACTTACTTCCTCGAGCAGGCCGGTCTCTCAGCCGACAAGGCATATTCGTTCGCCCTCGGCCAGTATGCCATCAATATGGTTGGCGTGCTGGGTGCTTGGGCTTTGATGACGCTCGGTATTGGTCGACGAACCCTATATCTTTACGGTCTCTGTGGTCTCTGCTCCATGCTTTTCGTCATGGGATTCCTCGGCCTGGTACCTGATGCCCACCGAGACCAGGCATCGTTGGCCACTGGCAGCATGATGATCGTGTGGGCACTCTTTTACCAGCTCAGTGTGGGCACCGTGTGCTACTCCCTCGTTGGCGAGCTATCGTCCCGTCGTCTTCAGATCAAGACTGTTGTGTTGGGTCGTAACGCTTAGTGAGTCTCTCAATATTGACCCCGCAACGGTGATCGGGATAGCATCCCGAGAGCTGCTGCAACCATGAACATGTTGCTAGTTCGGTTCGCTAACCCGATGGTGAATAGCAATATCATTGGCATCATCAACAGCGTCTTGACGCCGTATATGCTCAACCCTACCGCTTGGGACTGGGGCAACTATGCCGGATTCTTCTGGGTAAGGTCCCAATATCCGTTAAGGCTGCTTTGACAAGTGCCGTTTGCTGACAAGGGTGACAGGGCGGCATCTGCTTCTTGTGCATCATCTATACCTACTTCCGCCTGC